GCCTGGGCGGGCCGCGTCGTAGGCAGGTCTTTCGCTGCGTCAGGGGAGATACAATCCGAGCTGTTGGAAGAGTCCGAGCTCTCACGGTACAACAGCCTTGCGCCAGGAGCCAATGATTCCGAGCAGGCACTGCTCAACCTGTTGCAGCAACTCACACAGAGCAAGGAGTCTGACATTGCTGGCCTCGCCGAATCAGCGTTGAGGGCAGTTGTGTCGGAGGCAACAGCCCAGGGGGACGAGGCCCTCCTCGTTGCAGCCCAGAGAACGTTGACCGAATCGTTGTGTCTAGCTTCGGCTTGGGACCAATACCGTACGCCACCTTCCGACTTCGTCTTGTCGCAGACTGTCCCGAATTCTCAGGTCTTCTTCCGCGACCACGTGGAGAGTTCCAACTGGGTTCAGCAGCTGGCAGTCCATCTTGCACAGTCAGTCCCTGAGTACATCATCCTTATCGCATTGGTACCGATCCTCAAGAACGTCAAGGGTTTCGCTCAAGACTCTTTCCCTTTTATAGTTCATTTGGCCTTATACAGCCAACTTGACAAACAGCAGCTCATCAAGCGTAATCTGTCCGAAGCTGCAAAAGAATGGCTCAAGATTCAAGATGATGCTGCGCAAACTAACCAGAGGCAACTTATCAATACGATTCTGTACTTACGTACGCAGTCATTGCCCAAGGAATCGTCCATTGCCGATCGGGTCTCGTGGCTCGATATCGACTTTACCACCGCCGCTGCTGCCGCCTGCCGCTGCGGTATGCACAAGACTGCTCTTCTTTTCACCGAGATAGCCGCCTCCCAGACTATCCGCGCGTCCAGACGGTCATCCGCAGTTCGTGAAGAGGACTCTACTGAGATTCTTCTCTCAATCTTCGAGAACATTGACGACCCTGACGCTTACTACGGCCTGCCACAGTCTGCCGATCTCTCTAGCGTCCTGGCTCGTTTGGAGTACGAAAAAGATGGCTCTAAGAATCTGGCCTTCCGAGGAGCCCAGTACGACAGTCATATTCGAAGACGAAATCCCGCATCACAGTTGGATAGCCAATGTCTTGTCAGAGCTCTCGGCACTCTAGGCTTGGCTGGTCTCTCTCACTCCTTACTGCAGACGCAGCAGAGCCCTGATGGCGATGCAGCTTCTCTTGAAAGCACATTCCAAACAGCACGTCGATTGGAGTTGTGGAACCTGCCTGTGCCTGCAACGGCCGACAACTGCTCTGTGACTATCTACAAAGCGTACCAGAACTTGCAACATGCTAGCGGGGAGGCTGCCGTGCGTAACGCTATCTACGACGGCTTCAGCCAAACAATGCGGAGCCTTGTCAACCGTGGGTTGAATGCAGCTAAGCTCAGGCAGCATCTTGGCGCTCTCGCTGTCTTGACCGAGCTAGACGAAGTGGTGAATGTGATCGACTTGTCCGAGCTAGAAGGCATGCTCGGAAACTTCGAGCAGCGTAGCCAGTGGATGAGACGCGGACGGTACGTTTCCCCTACCATACATTGCTTCCTTTGATCTACGCATCTGAGGTTTCCCCAACATTTCTATCCTCAAGTTTCTCGAGTGTCTGAGCCTTTAGACCTTCAAAGCTAACGAACGACAGATACGAGGATGTTAGCCATCTACTGTCGTGTCGAGAAACAACATTGAGCTTGTTGAGTCAACAGTCGACACTCCGAAGCCAAGCCCTGTCCACTGCCGAAGCTAGACAAGTGGAGATTCGGTGCATGTTGATGTCCTCAGGGATATACCGCTTCCATCAAGCCACGCAGGAATCCCTCAATCTTTCCACGTCACTAACAGACTTGGTCGGCCCCTGCGAGGACTTGGGTATCAAAGTTGATGCTGCCATCAAAATCGAGGCGGCGAACTCCCTGTGGGACCACGGAGAGATGATTTCCTCGATCCGCATGCTCCAAAGCATCGATAACGACTCTTCTCTGAAGAAACAGACCATACCAGTAAGCCGTTCGGATCTGTTGTCTAAAATCGGTCATCAGGTGTCGGTGGCGAAGCTGGAGAAACCCCATCACATCCAGAAGAATTACCTCGAACCCGCCCTTAAAGAGCTCAAGGGTAAGAGCGAAGGACAGCAGGCCGGGCACGTCTACCATCAGTTCGCCATGTTCTGCGATGAACAGCTACAGAACCAAGACAGCCTGGAGGACTTGGCAAGATTACAGAGCTTGAGGAAAGGCAAGAGCGACGAGGTCTCCCAGCTGCAGAGCCTCATTTCAAGCAGCCGCGACTCGCAACTGAAACACAGATACCAGTCGCACCTGAACCGCGCTCGCCAATGGCTGCAGCTAGATGAACAGGAGCTTCGCCGCGTGGAGCAAACGAGAAGCGAGTTTGTTCGGCTCAGTCTCGAGAACTACTTGCTCTCTCTCATTGCGTCCGACGAGCACAACAACGACGCCTTGCGTTTCACCGCTCTCTGGCTTGAGCGTTCGGAAGAGACGGCAACTAATGAGGCTGTCAAGAAACACCTTGACAAGGTGCCGACGAGAAAGTTTGCCACGTTGATGAATCAACTTTCTTCGAGACTGCAGGATCAGCCAACTTCGGCTTTCCAAAAACTCCTCATTAATCTTGTCTACAAGATCTGCGCCGAGCACCCGTATCACGGCATGTATCAAATCTGGTCCGGCACGAAGGTCAAAACGCGAAAGGAAGATCAAGTAGCAGTGCTGAGGCTCAAGGCAACGGAGAAAGTTGCAGCCCTCCTGCAGTCAACCAAGAACGTGGCAGCGATCTGGCAGGCCGTCGATCGGACGAGCGCCTACTACCATCGATTGGCCGTCGACCGAGACCCTGCCAAATTCAAGGCCGGACAAAAGATTGCGCTCAAAGAAATCCACTCAGCCCAGTCCTTGCAAAATGCGCTGATGAAATACCGGATTCCGCCACCAACCATGCAGCTCGAGGTATCAGCGACAAAGAACTACTCGGACGTCCCGATCATCGAGAGACTTGAGCCTCAGATGTCGATCGCGTCTGGTGTCAGCGCCCCCAAGATTATCACGGCCGTCGGAAGCGATGGTAAAAAATACCGGCAGCTGGTCAAGGGCGGCAATGACGACCTCCGTCAGGACGCCATCATGGAACAGGTATTCGCAGCAGTATCGTCCCTTCTGAAGCTACACCGTTCGACCCAGCAGAGGAACCTCGGTATTCGCACTTACAAAGTTTTGCCTCTCACCTCGGCGTCTGGTCTCATCGAATTCGTCCCAAACACCATCCCGTTGCACGAATTTCTTATGCCGGCTCACGAGAGATACTTTCCCAAGGATCTTAAGGGGTCTCAATGTAGGAAAGAGATTTCTAACGCGCAGGGCAAGACGACAGAGACTCGGATAAGCGTGTATAGGAAGGTGACGGAAAGATTTCATCCCGTCATGAAGTACTTCTTCATGGAGAATTTTGTCGACCCTGATGACTGGTTCGTGAAGCGGCTAGCTTATACGCGCACCACTGCAGCAATCTCGATGCTCGGCCACGTACTCGGTCTGGGAGACAGGCACGGCCACAACATCCTGTTGGATAACAAGACTGGCGAGGTCGTACACATTGATCTGGGTGTTGCGTTCGAAATGGGCCGCGTTCTTCCTGTGCCAGAACTCGTCCCGTTCCGGCTGACCAGAGACATCGTAGACGGCATGGGTATAACAGGGACCGAAGGTGTCTTCCGCCGTTGCTGCGAGTTTACGCTCCACGCCCTGCGAGAGGAAACGTATTCGATCATGACAATTCTCGACGTCCTCCGTTATGACCCTCTCTATTCATGGTCTATCTCCCCCGTCCGGCTGGCGAAGCTACAGGGTGGTGAGTATGACGGCGACGGGGACGAGGGGGAAGGAGAAGGAAGAAAGGACAGAAAGGGTCAGCAGGTCAACGAGCCGTCGGAAGCAGATCGGGCGTTGGAGGTGGTGAGGAAGAAGCTCTCAAAGACGTTGAGTGTAACGGCGACAGTCAACGACCTGATTAATCAGGCGACCGATGTGAGCAATTTGGCGGTCTTGTACTCGGGCTGGGCAGCATATGCGTAGAACATATTCTGTCACTCTGATTAACTCCTCCCATTCGCATTCCAATGATATCGATGCCAGGCCAGGCAGATATAAATACACGAACAGCGGTGCCCTACGGCCTATGGGGACAATATCCAGAAATAGCTTCTCTGAAGACGTAGTCGATGTTATAGGACACGCAAAGGCACTCGATTCAGTTGATGTATCGAATTAGACTCCTGAAATCAATTTTCTTTGATTTGCAGGAGGGTCTTTGGTACTAGACTGTTCATCGTGCTTCTCTGTGTTTCCAGATGAATGGGAGTTTAAGGAGGTTTGTAGGTGTGCCTGTCCACGAAATGCAGCTAGTCAGAATATTGCTCTAACAGTAGGCGTCCGTTCAGGGGGGGGTGGTTGCCATGGTGGGGTAGGAGTCTTATCTAATACCCGGTCGACGCGATAACCGGTGCAGGGTACGTGCTAAATGGATGATGCGAACGAACCGATGGTGATTTGTTAATGGCGTCCATAGCTCCGCGTTTAACTCCGCGACAAGTTTCCCACGACAACGACCTCTGTACTCGGGTTCCCAACCTCCTGCAAGAAGCCACTCTGCAACCACCCGACGACTTGCATACGCCGAAATTGAATAAACACCCGCGATCTTAGCCGCCGGCCTACCCCCTCCTATCCATTTCCACCAAGAGCGCATAGGTCTGTAACAGCTTGGACAGAAGTTGTTGCAGGGCCACCCGGTCCATGCCGTCGAATTCACCCCCCGCAGTCGAGGGAGCTTTGCCAACACGGGCGACGGGACGGACAGGTGGAACAGCAGCGCCATTCAACGACACGGGTAGTCCTCCGCGACGAAGACCCCGTGTGGACTCTGACGTCTCGCGCTCCGGCTCTATCGCCCCGCACCAACAGCAGTCAAGCAGACCAAGCCCCAAGCGGCTCAAGGTCGGCGCCGAAGACCCTCCCTCCCACTCCACCATGTCGACCAAGATGAAGGGGAAGCTTCCCGAGGTCATTGACCTCACGCAGTCCAACTCGTACCGGCCGTACACGGGCGCCAAGAAGCTAGTGATCAAGAACCTGCGGCCTGCGGCGCGGAACGAGCAGCTAGAACAGTACTATCAACGGACCGAGCAGGAGTTGGTTGACGCCTTGCAAGACATTTTCAACGGGCGCAAGCCGCAACTGCCATTGGAGAGGCTATATAGGGCTGTCGAGGATATCTGTAGGCGTGGCAAGGACAATGAGCTGCAGCTTTATGAGACGTTGCGGCGGAAGTGCGAGGAGCACCTGACCCATGATGTCCTGCGGTCAATCAAGTCCCGTGGCGGCAACACAGACGTTGACATGCTGCGGAGCGTCCTCCAGCATTGGCGGGTTTGGAACGGTCAAATCGTGAGTTGAGCCGGCGCTCCCGCCACTCGCATGGATTGTGAACTAATAAGCCTGTGGACAGATGACGATTCGGTCTACATTCAGCTACCTCGACCGCACTTTTCTTCTCAAGAACAAGCATTACCCTTCCATCAACGACATGACCATTTCGCAATTCAAGAGAATGGCATTTCCATCTCGAGATGATCCAGACGGTCAGTCGCCCGGTGGTAGGGCGTTACGTGGCATGTACGACCTGATCTCATATGACCGCCTTGGGGACGAGCGATTCGATGCGGCACTACTGAAAGACTCCATCATGATGCTTCACGTCTTCAACATCTACACCAAGTACTTCGAACCCCGGTTCATCGAGTTATCAGAGCACTACTTTGAAGAGTTCGCAGAGGAGAGGAGCGCGTCGAGTCTGAAAGAGTACATTTTGGCGTGTGAAAGACTCTTGAAGAGAGAGGACTACCGCTGCAACGAGTACAACCTAGACTCGACGACGAAGAAGCAGCTGCTTGATTCGGCACACGGTATATTGATTAAGAACTACTCTGACAAGCTTCTCAATGTTGAGAGTCTTTCTAAGCTCCTCTCTGACCATGAGGTGGATTCAATGAAGGCGCTCTACGATCTGTTGCGGCTCTCCGGAATCCAAAAGAAACTGAAGGAGCCTTGGAGCGCGTACATCCGGAAGACCGGCGCAATCATTGTTGCCGACAAAGAACGAGGCGATGAGATGGTGCAGAGACTCCTTGAACTCAAGAGATCCCTGGGACTTATCGTACGGGATGCCTACGGGGGCGATTCAGACTTTGTCAACGACCTCAGAAACGCCTTTGGCGATTTCATGAACGACCGCAGCATTGCGGCGACATGGAGCTCGGGAACATCCAAGGTCGGAGAGATGATTGCAAAGTACGTCGACATGCTGCTTCGTGGTGGTATCAAGGCTCTGCCCAAGGTCATGCTCTCGGACAACAAAGACCGAGCTGCGGCGGAACAGAGCGGGCTGGCCAGCACAGGAGACGAAGACGCAGAGCTCGACCGGCAACTCGACCAAGCTCTTGAGCTCTTCCGCTTCATCCAGGGCAAAGACGCGTTTGAAGCGTTCTACAAGAAGGACCTAGCCCGTCGTCTGCTCATGGGCAGGAGTGCCAGCCAGGACGCCGAGCGAAACATGCTCCGAAAGCTCAGAGAGGAGTGTGGAATGAACTTTACCCACAACTTGGAGCAGATGTTTAAGGACGTTGAGGTGGCCAAGGAGGAGATGGAGGCATACAAGCAATGGTCCGAAGGCACCGGTGTTGGCAGAGCCCCTGTCGACCTTTCCGTCATGATCCTGTCAGCTGCTGCTTGGCCCACGTACCCCGATGTCAAGGTACACCTGCCAGACGATGTCGCCAAGCAGATCGAGCGCTTCGACCAATACTACAAGAATAAGCATACCGGCCGGCTTCTCAACTGGAAGCACGCTCTGGCGCACTGCACGGTCAAGGCGAAATTCCCCAAGGGCACGAAGGAGCTTCTCGTCAGTGCGTACCAGGCGATCATTCTCGTCCTCTTCAACGAGGTCGGCCTCGAGGGCTTCCTCACCTACGAACAGATCGCCCGCGCCACGAATCTCCAGGGAGAAGAACTAGGCCGGACGCTGCAGTCGCTCGCCTGCGGCCAGGTCCGCGTGCTTGCGAAGCATCCCAAGGGCAAGGACGTCAACCCGACGGACACATTTACAATCAACAAGACGTTTGCGCATCCCAAGATCCGGGTCAAGATCAACCAGATCCAGCTCAAGGAGACCAAGGAGGAGAACAAGGCGACGCACGAGCGCATCGCGCAGGACAGACGGTTCGAGACGCAGGCGGCCATTGTGAGGATCATGAAGAGCAGGAAGGAGATGAGCCACGGCGAGCTGGTAGCCGAGGTGATTAATCTGACCAAGAACCGTGGGGCGGTTGACGCGGCGCAAATCAAGAAGGAGATTGAGAAGTAAGTTGACCTCTGATGACAGTGGGAGCATTGCTAACCGCCAAATAGCCTGATTGACAAAGACTACCTCGAGCGCGAGGGCAACACCTATACTTACCTGGCATAGACAGGGAGGTGGCAATAAGACTAGACAAACGTTAGACATGGACGTCATCGCGGGCGCGGGGTTGCATGTCGGAAAGGGTGATACACATGAACGTAACGAAACGGGTTCCGGACGAACAGGGACTGGAACAGGGGCGTTGGAAGCAATGGGAATCAATGGACTTGACTTTGCAGACTGTGTGCTGATCACCAGTGAGACCCAGGGTGTAGTTACATGTCGTGCACAGTGATACGGCCCAAACCTATTGCCATCGACCAGACATGTAAAGATATCTACGCTTCGCTGCGACTTTAATCTCGTCAAGGGTAGCGTTTCATGGCATCAAGTAGTAGAACGTCCCAGTAGCGAATCACGCATTCGACCTGCGGTCTTTATTCAAAAGGCAAAGTCTCAGCCTCACGAAACGCGATAGAGCTGGCATGGGTGGGGACACAAGCTCGGTGGTCAGTGGCATCTACCTCAGAAGTGTAGCGCCCCAGCGTCGGCCTCGGTGAGCTCGGTCAGGACCCCTGCCAGAGGACCCTGCGGAATATCGTTCCACCTAGCGCATTGCGGGGTTCGAAAAAAGTTGCGGCGGTCCCTCTTGCAGCGGCGGGCGTGGTGGTGTGCACCCGGGAGCCAAAAATTTGGGAAATTTTGTGCCAAAGGCGGTCGGCCAGAAATATTTCCCATTGCAGTCCCGCGCAAACCTCTTGACGACTTTTACTCGCAATCGATCCGGTCCCCTCGATTTCGCAACCACCCCACGATCCGAAGCCAACCAGGTCGCCGAGCACTTTTATTCTCCTGATACCCTAAGTCGGCTTTTCCGCATTTATAGAAAGAAGGTCCCGTTTGTCTCGCAGCCGCCAAGATGCCCAAGTCGAAGCGCAACAGAGTGGTCAACCTGACCCAGGTGAGCAAGAAGACGCGCGAGCAAAAGGACAAGCTCTTCTCCAACATCCGCGAATCGGTCCCGGAATACCAGCACTGCTTCGTCTTCGGCGTCAACAACATGCGCAACAACTACCTCAAGGAGGTCCGCCACGAGCTCAGCGACTGCAGGTTCGTCGTCCCCTCCTCCAAAGTCCTGTTGCTCTACGCCATGGCACAAGCCCCCTCCCCCCGTGGTCGTGCATACCCAGGACAGCAAGCCTTGAGACCAATACAGTACTGACAGACCCCCGCGCGCAATGTAGACTCTTCTTCGGCAAGACAAAACTCATGGCCAAGGCGCTCGGCCAGGACCCCTCCTCGGCAGTCGCCGAAGGCATCGACCGCCTGACCCCCTTCCTCGCCGGCACCGTCGGCCTCCTCTTCACCAACCGCGACCCGGCCGCGATCCTTTCCTACTTTGACGGCGTCGCCCCCGTCGACTTTGCGCGCGCCGGCACCGTCGCGACCCGCGACTTCACCATCCCCTCGGGCGTCGTCTACGCCACGGGCGGCGAGGTCCCCGCCGAGCACGACGTGCCCATGGAGCACAGCATCGAGCCCGAGCTGCGCCGCCTCGGCATGCCCACCCGCATGATCAAGGGCCGCGTCTGCCTCGGCGACGCCGAGGGCAGCGGCGACGGCTACGTCGTCTGCCGCGAGGGCGATGTACTCGACAGCAGGCAGACGAGGCTGCTGAAGCTGTTTGGCGTTTGCCTGAGCGAGTTCAAGGTCAAGGTTCTGGCGTACGTTTTCCCCAATAGCTCCCCTCACCCCTCAATACAAGCAACCGTGACTGACCTCCTCCGCAGATACTGGAGCTCCGCCTCAGGAAAGGTGACGGAGGTGAACCCCGACGCCATGGACGGCGTCGAGGACGAGAGCGACTAAGTCTGTCGGGAGCATGGATGACCAGAGAGGGACACGCACACACACACACACACACAAAAAAGCTTCTAGACTTGATGATTGCTTTCTATCATGTAGGCCGATACCATCATGGATTGCGAGGGTGGATTCCAAAAAAACAACTTACGGCGTTCCGGGCGGTTTATTAGACATTTTCGGTCATGCGTCAGGGACCAAATTTATCACGTATTTTTTCTTCCTTCTTCTTTTTCCTCACGCAAAAGGTCCCTCTCTCCGCGGAGGCAAAGCTTCTTTCTATACATGGAAAATTCGGGGGCAGGCTGTGTGCTCTTCCGCGACATCAAGCAATGAGAAAGCTACTGTGCGACCCTGTCTACGTAGAGAGACGACGAGAGGTCCTCACCTATTGATACAAGTAATTATAACGTGGTACATGTCCTTTGATCCATATCCGTGTCTCCTTACTACGCTCCAGGTCAGTAGGCACGAAGTCCCTTACCTCTGACCTTACCTGCGTCGCCAATCACTGTTGGAATATGTCGTTGAAGCAATCCGTAGCCTGGTCGTTTGATCCGGGTGGGCGCGCAAAACACGTAGAGAAGATTACCTTCAAGCGGGTGCTATAGACGTTCGAGGCACTTGGTGACCTGCGAGATGTTTGTATGTTGTGGTACCGGCGCGCCTGGTGGTTTGCCGTATACTTGCCCAGTGGCATGGGTCCGACTTGTCTTGATCCGAATACGGAGATACTTGAGAATCTTGCGCCTGACACCTTCTGCTTACCCTCGATAGAGAAGGGGAAGGAGAAAAGAGACTAAGAGATGAGACGAGCGAGCTGTCACCCACCGCAAGACACTACGTGTCTCGTCAGTAACGACGCAACTTCCTGGGGTCCTCGTAGCCGCCGCCTTCGTAGCCACGTTTCCTACTATCATCGTCGCGGGGTCGGTCGTAGTCCCTGTCTCTGTCGCGTCCACGATCCCGGTCCTCTCTGTCGCCTCGGTCACCGCGATACCCACCTTCTCCTCTGGGTCTGATCGGTTCCATGTTGCTTCCAGTTCTTCGGCCACCGTCGCGGTCCCGATCGCCGCGGTCGCCGAAGCGGCCTCCATCACGGTAGCCGCCGCCGCCGCCGCCACCGCCGCCGCCAGATCTGTCGTCAAATGAGCGGCCACCACCACGGTCATACCCACTGCCCGAGAAGCTGCGATCGCCACGGTCGCCACGGTCGCTTCCGAAGCCGCGACCAGGTCCTGATGGGGCATCTCTGGGTGCGCCATATCCGTTAGGGCCGCGGTCACCGCCCCGGGAACCAAAGTCGCCGCCACCACGGAAACCTCCACGGCCACCGAAGCCTCCCCTGAAACCTCCGCGGCCACGTCCTCCCTCGAAGCCGCCACGGAAACCTCCTCGGAAGCCGCCGCCAAAGTTGCCGCCAGGCCCGCCGCCCATTGGCCGGGCGGGGAGAGCCTTGGTGTAACCTCTGCCACCAAGACCACCGCCAAATCTGCGGGGCACCCAACCCTTGACGGTGCGGCCTCGCTCGACGTCTACCTTGATACGTCGGTCCTTGATTCGAATACCATCGCAGGCATCTAGAGCAGCTACTCACCAGTGCGCCAAGGCGCGTGTGTCAGTAAAACCTTACCAATATCATATACCTTTGCATCATGGTTGAGTAAGAATAGAGAAGAAAAACATGATTTGAGATGGGCATGCTTGAGGGCCACAGATCTCGGTGTGCAAAGCAGAACGCGGGCAAGCCTGAGGGCCTCGCGCCTGAGGGGCAGGACTGGCAGGCCAGCCGGGTCTCGTCGAAAGGGGTGGGTTCAGCGGTATTACCTCTCATGTCTTTCTCTCGTTCAAATACGACGAAGGCATAGCCACGGTGGGGCTTCTTCTTCTTTCTGGGCTTCTCATGTGCATGAGTGTCAGTGATGATGCGAATCTGTTCACATGTTAGCAATGGATTCGCAAGTTTGAAGAGGGCATGAGGCACATACACGCTCAATGGGGCCGAATCGACCAAACTCCCTCTCGAGATCCTGCTCGTTGGCCTCGTACGAGAGCCGCGCCACGATCAATGTCTTGAAAGCGTCGCCACGGATGTTCGGATCTTCGTGTGGCTTGACTAGATGGCAGATGGGTTAGCAGAGATTACTCGATAGCCGATGAAGTCGGAAACCAACAGTTCTTCGGCCCCTCAGTCTTCAGCCTCTCAACGGCAGCCTGTTTCTCAAGCTTCTTGCGGTCGCGCATCTGCAGCCAGCTCTCCGTCGGCTTGTATTCGTCCGTTTCTTTGTAATGTTGGAGCGCGGGAAGGAACTCGGCGACGCCAGAAACAGGCAGGGTTCGTCGGGATTCGGGCGCATGGTCGGGAGGCGCAACCCATCGCAGCGGAGGGCGCGGCGCGAAGAGCGCCAGCAAGTTAGGAGGGAGCTTGTCCGTCATCGCGAAGGCGTCTCTTCGTCGAGTCCCAAGTGTCGCGGTCGGCGGCTCGGATGAGATGCGTGGCGTCTGTTGACTAGCAATGCATCGATCGAGCGTAGTGGGATGGAGTTGAGGAAGGGAGCGTCGCGTCGTCCCGGAAATTGACACGAGAGAGCATGGGAAAGTTTGTGGTGCAACCTGGCGCAGGCAAGGTCCATCCAATCAACCGTCGTTCAGCCGACCCAGTCCGTCCTGCCGCAAAGCTGCCAGGGAGGTACGTACCGAACCCAAGCTGCCACCTCAGGCTAGGCGTCGGCGGCCGGAACATCTTGCATTGACGCGCTAAGAAATTTCCCGTCCATCCTCGAACAGGAGCTTCTCGACCCATACCATCAATTGGATTCTGTATGCCAAGCAGGATACCATGACGATCAAGGCATTGAAGACGGTGTCTACCGGCCGGGTAAGACGTCTGGCTATTGACTTACTTGGACCTCTCGCTGACACCCTGACAGAATGGCCTCGGCGCCTTCATCCTGCAATGCAGGAAGATGGACTTCCACTACTGCGACTGGGCCGGCAGCTCCAAGGGAATGAAGTACGCAGATCCTTGGTAACAACGGTTAGAATCTCTGCTGACACTTCCTGCAGCGGCTTCATCAAGTCTCAGCTCCCCAAGTTCGCGGCCGCCAACCCCCAGATCGAGTTCACCGTCTCCCCCCGTCCCTCGAAACACCCGGTCATCGTCGGCCACTACATCAACGGCCGCGAAAAGGCCATCTGCGTGCGGAACATGGAGCCCCTCGAAATCCTTAAGAAGGCGGAGTTGCTGCGCGACGCCAGCGGAGAGAAGGTCAAGAGGGTGAACAAGCCGGTGACGAGCATCAACCCTAGTGTCAGAGGCATCTGGAGTCCTTACCACGGAAAGGGCATGACTGTATAAATACGAGAGGACGTGAGCGCTGTGAATTTGAGAAATGTGTAAAGCTACGAACAGAATAAGGCGTGCATAGGAGGAGGCGGCATCTTTGGATGCTTGTATCATACAAACACCTGGCAGGGAGGGGAAGAGCGCCCCCTTAAAAGCGCTCGAATTTAAAATCTCAAACATTCACGTTGTGTCCGTTGTGCACGCGATGGGGGTATATTATTTTTCAATTCTTCTCGCGGCTAGGGAGCTAGGGAGTGCTAGTCGCTCTAGGCTCATCCCGGTCAGGTTTCAAGTCATCATCATCAAGTATGTAATCTGTTGTATTTACTGCTTGGCGTTGACGATGTCGACGACTGCGGACTGTTAGCTGTCTGCTCATCATGGAACGCCGGGAAACACTCACAGCCGGGCTTCAGGGAGGCACCGCCGACCAGGAAGCCGTCGATGTCCTTCTCCTTGGCAAGGTCCTTGCAGTTCTTCTCGTTGACACTGCCGCCGTACAAGATGCGGGTCTCCTCGGCAACCTTGTCGCTGACCTCCTTCTTGAGCCAGGCGCGGATGGCGGCGTGAACCTCCTGGGCCTGCTCGTTGGTGGCGACCTTGCCGGTGCCGATGGCCCAGATGGGCTCGTAGGCGATGACGACCTTGGACCAGTCGGAGATGGCGGCCTTGAGAGCAGCCAGCTGCTTGCTGACGACGTCAACGGTGGTGCCGGCCTCACGCTCCTCGAGGCTCTCGCCGCAGCACCAGATGGCGCCAACGCCGTTCTCGGTGGCGTACTTGGTCTTGGAGGCAACGACCTCGTCGGACTCGCGGAGGATGGTGCGGCGCTCCGAGTGGCCAAGGATGGCCCAGTTGATGTTGAGGTCCTTCAGCTGAGAGACGCTGATCTCGCCGGTGAAGGCACCGTTGGGCTTGTCGAAGACGTTCTGGGCAGCAACCTCGACATCCTTGCGGAGAAGGTCGCGGACAAGCTGGAGGTAGATGGCGGGAGGAGAGACGACGACCTCTGTGGGACGGTTGTCAGCCAAGTTGCACTCCGGTGAGCCGAAAATGAGAGAGGAGTTGCACGTACCAGTGTTGGGGTCGAGGTTGGCGTTGTTTAGGTTCTGGACAATCTCCTTGATGGACGAGAGGGACCCGTTCCTGTAATGTTGGAAACACGCTGCGTCAGCCTGTCATGTTTTGGCTAGAGACCGAAGCTTCCATGTTTCGTTCCCCCTCCCGCTCCCTTTCTGTGTGGTGGTGCAGAGATCGTGGGACCCCGCCATCGGACAAGACTTACATCTTGAAGTTGCCGCCGACGAAGAACTTGCGAGCCATGTTGGGCAATTGGTGATATCTGATGTTTTGAGGGAGGGTTGTTGGAGCGTGAGACGTCTGAGTGACTGTCAAGAAGGAAAAGATCAGATCAAGGCTGGATGTAAATGACGCAGGATGGGTTTGGCAGCGGTAGCTCGATCGTAGTAGGCAGTAAAAAGACCTCAGGGTTGGGTCACGTCAAAAGCTCCAGCGCGAGGTGGGCTTGGTTTGTCTCAATGGAGGGGCAGAAGAGGGGCGCCAGCGCGGGCTGGGCGAGAGGGGCAGCTGGTACCGCCGCTGGGACGCCGACAACACCAGTTTGCAGCACACAATCAGCAGTTCCGGTGGGTCTCCCAGCGGCTCCGACCTGGCCCGGGGGGCTGCAGCTGCCCCGCACTCAACCTGCCTGCAGCAGTCCAGCTTCGTGGTGACCAGCGAGCGAGTGTCTGCCGTGGGCTGAGACCATCCTCCAACAACCAGCGCCCCTCAACAGTTTTCGTGCCCAGTCGGACCGTTGCGCTTCCTATGCCCCTCGGGTGCCGAGTTTCTGGCTTGCCAATCCAATCGGATGTCCGCTGTCGTCTCCTTGTGTATAAGTGAATGGCACGCGGTAGCACACAACTGGCTAACGACTAGTTTGCAGATTCAGTCGGAGACGATGAAGTGTTGGACTTCACCAACCGTAGCGAGAAACAACAGCAAGATTTTACTCGCGGGTCCAGCCGAGTGCTCGAGTTACCAGAATCCGCAATCGAGCTTGATCAACCCGCGATGCTTCAACTCTGTTTAGACATGCCATGCCTCTTTGGCAAGGTCAACAAAGAGGTCGCCTCGCTGCTGTGAGGTGATGGACTCGGCCACTCTGGTCGGAACCCTGTTTCATCCGATTCCACCGCTATTCGGGCTCCCAGCTTCCCTTAAACCTCGGTAAATCGACGTAGACAACATTTTCTTGTTTGGCAGATGATGTACTGACAAATGTTTCAATAAGTGACGACTGGCTGGCCGCAGGACTTCGAGTGAGCACTGTGCTGGTCACGCCCACAGTATTGACAAACCTTGAGATTGGTTGTTAGAGGCTCGACAGTCAGTCTTGTTTCCTTGATCTCGGTAACAAAGATCGCGTCGCCAGTTGCGACAATTTGTCATGACTCAACCTCCGACTCAAAAACGAAGAAGCTGTCATTCCACGCAGCAGGTCCCGTTGTCAACGCGCTTGCAGTTCTAAGTCATCTCAAGAAGGGTGCGTGCTGTCTTCGATCTGGGGCATCAAAAGCAAGAGAGGGTGATGCTGTCTCAGATATTCCACAGCCAAACATCGACCCGGACTGGGAGGCCTATGTTCCAAACGTCCATCACTGAGAAGGAGACTAGCAAGTGCAGTGTCTCCTCCAGCTCCCACGCTTGTCGCGGTACTGGCACAGTTTATGATCGGCAATCTGCATGATTTTTGTCTTCCTGCAGGGCACGGACCGCCTTTGTGGACTTCCTCCCAGTAAGTGATCTTCATATCTTGGTGACCAAGTGACGTCCCAGAGACAGCGATACCAGGGAGCGCGAGCCGGCCCAGGTCTTTGGCTGTGCTCGACTCCCTCGTGTCGTGCTGATCGATAATTCCTTCATCAGGTTTGGGATCCCTGAGCTCGGATCTACGCGCCCTGAGCAGCGTCGTGTTGGTCCTGTGTTGTGACTCTGGGAAAATACAACTGTGACACATCTTCGCATTCGACTGCAGCTTGGCCCGAAGGAAACACCACGAGGCCAAGGTTTAGTTCTGCTTGCTCCTGATCAGTCTCACTAACTTGACATCCCACATGTCCAACGTCCCAGGTCCAACGGCAGCGTTCTACGCATGACGAGTCGTTCGATGTCGAAAACACACACATACACGACGTCGACTGACACTGGACGGTCTGAAATGCGAGTCTGACGTGACAGAGTTTGCTGAAGGAAGAGACGAAAATCCAGGCCTAACGTGTTGCATACCGGCCGCCTATCGGGTCTGCCATCGGCCCGGTTTCCCCACTCGGCCTTCCGCCACTCTCCATTGCCGGTCACGGCATTTCATCCTGAGAGTTTTTCTTTTTGCTTCGCCCCTTTTCCTTTATAATATTGGTCTAGATATGTCAAGTCTATATTGAATCTTGGAAAGCCTCACAGTCTGGTTGAGACCCAACCGCCGTCGCAAGAGCATCAAGCCCATATGAAGGCAGTTCGGTTGAACAGGTCCAGATCGCGCAAGGACGAAAAGCTATCTGGAAACGACACAGCGAAGACCCTTCAGAGTGGTGGCCTTTAGCAAAGAAGGCGGATGACAGGGCTTGGCTTATCGGATCGCCGCCAAGGCCAACAAGGCATATTGGAGGGCACTGTGCTCGAGATCCGGAGGTCTTATCATCGAGCAGAGCATTGAGCGTGATTGCCATGTTATATTGGTGTTTCTTCAGACTATCGCGGTACAAGTCATCTCAAGACCGTCCTAAACGCGCCGACATACCGCAGCGTCTGTCATGTGAGGCGGCTGGCCATTCTAGAAAAGCATCAAGTCACGGAGCCTGTCATGTCGTATTGTATTCATCGCAACTAGCGAGCATTCCGGGAAAATCAATCAACCTGTGTCGGCTGTCGTTATGGTAGATGATTGAGTCAGCCGGCTGAGAAGGGGGCAACGGGTTCTGTCGTCCGGGGGCGCAGCCGATGGCAGGCCGGACATACGTGGGGTTGACAGCCCCGGCTTGATCTCAGGGCCCAATCGCATCTCTGCCTGCCAGAGCCCATGGGCAGATCATGGCATCGTGATTCCAAGGGAGAACAAAAGGAGGGGTTTGGAGACGTTCTTCCATACCCGGCGTCGTCCGCTAACGGTAGGAACAACGGGTCCGAGCTGTGCGAGTGCGCGAGAAATCCATTCGCGGAGGGCAACTGAACCCCGGTCAACGTACGCTGATTGAAACACCTGCTCGCAGTGTGGTTCGGAAAGGGCTCAGAAATAGCAATACTGGTCATACCGTCGGCGCCGTGGCTGCAGTAAGAGGCGACGAGGCGTGCGGTTCTATTTTTTTCGGTTCACGACTGTTGTATGAGCCGATGGTGACAAATCCCAGAGGACGTTGCACAAAGCTTAGGATATGGCTTCAAAGCAGAAGCGGACGAGGAGCAGCAAATGGCGTCTTTCATGCCGCTTGAGACGAGCCGAGTGAGTGAAGGCGAGAACGTAGTTGTCTAATCCCCATGGTAGGTGTCGTTCTGGTAAGGCCTAAGAGTTCACATGGTTTGGAACATGCGTGATGGCGGTGTTTCGAGAGCGCAGCTTCAGCTGACAGCCGCTTCCAGAGACCTTTGCCAACCTCACAATTTTACGCCACCATGCGCCATTTCGGGCCTTTTTCTTCTTCAGTGCGCATAGAATGGCAACCCTGGTGTATATATTCCGTTAGACAAGGTAGCATTCGGCCGTCATTGACCATGGGACTTCCAGATCCGAGGTGATCGGGACTGAATCCTGGCAGACCGAAGCGTTGAGAGTTGCCGAATCATCGTAGTCTACGACCACAAGAAGCCATGGTGAGGGACTACCATGACCTGTCTATAGGGTTTCCTATTAATCAAACCAGGATGTCGGAAATTTCGATGGGGGGAACCGAAAAAGGTGCCCTGGTATTCAATATCTTCCGACATGTCCTGTTTGACAACTACCTCGCTCGGCCGTCAAAGCGCCGCTACGAACCCAAAACCCGTGCGTCCCGTCAAGCTCCAAACACTCTCCCTCTCAAGCAAAGGGTAAAAGGGCCACCAGCAGTGGGGAGGAGAAACGAAATGGTGGCACGGCCTCGAAGACGACTCGTCGATTTTCGTCACCCGGCACGAACGTTTTTGATCTTCGTCCAGGAAGACATGTCTCCTCCACATTGAGTCGTGGTGCAACCCGCATCCCACAACCCTGCACGACCACCACCATCGCCAACGGCAACACCACCACCACCACCACCATTGCAACATTCAGGCAAGGGGGCAGAATCGGGAGTTCGACCGCACGTTCCCACCAGCGCCTCCATGCCGTGTGAGAGCCGTTTAGAGGCAACCACATCGTCGAACAACTTGCTGGCCTGCCTGCCTTGCCCTACCCTGCCATCCCCACGATGCGATGGCAGTCCTCGCGCATAATGTTTACAACCATGGATGAAGGCCTGACACCTTCAGCATCCAATATCGGAAACTCGCTGGACAGCTGGCTCGGTAGCTGTAACCAGTTCCCGCTCCGGTAGCTACATCTGACCCCTGGTCACTCGGTTTGGGTCTACAACGTCACAACTAGCTAGTCAGGTTGAGCCTCCTCGGCCGGCTAGAGCTACGTCTCCCCCAGTCGCGCGACCAAACAGCAAGGCTGGTAGCCGTTCTCGCCTGCAACGGTTCTGTCGGAGTAATAGCGACACTGTCCCAGAATATGGCTTACTCAAAGAAGCAAGGCGCGAAATCTGCCCGATTCCCTTCACACAGACATGCAACCGGCCAAGATGCCGTTGGGTCAACAATGTAGCATCCGTCGTGCCCTTTGCAGCACTGCCCCATGGTGATCCAATGGTCAAAGAGAGACAACACGATACAGCAACATCGGTTCTTCACCACATCCCCAGGTCGAGCCGTCAGTGCGGCCATGAGAACGTCTCGCCAACGCCCATCTGTCGTACCAGTCACCCCGCAGTGCGGTACCGGGCCAGGATGGCCACCATTGAAGGGAAAAGGATATATTTGGCCGGGTCTCGCATCACTGCGGCGATTTCGCAAGCACACATTATGCTTTCTCATTACCTTTATCTGGTAGGTCGGTTCAAGCACGGTCACCAACGCTGAAAGCTTCTATTTGCCCATCCACTCCATTTGCCCATCCCGTCTGTCCTATCCGTCATTCGTCTACCGTGTACTCGGACCACCTCTGTCGCCGTAAAGGGAAGAGTAACGAGGTGTATATCCCCAACCTTCTCCGGCAACTTCGGTTTACAGTACTTCCTGGTCGAATCCCGTGTCTACAAACATGTCCACGCAATCAACGACATGAGAATCCCGCCGCTTGAATTCCTCCTCAGTTGGCCACCACCGCGTTACGACAACCCCGAAACGAGAGGCCCGGCCAACGAGATCGTCGCCCTCAGCCTCCTGGGCATCGCCGCCGTCCTCCTAGCGATTCGGATCCACACGCGTCGACGCATTACCAACGCGTTCGGCTGGGATGACATCCTCATCGTCCTGGCCTTTATCCCAGCTACAGGGTTCGTGGTCCTCGGGGTGATCGCCACGAATCTCTACGGCTGGGGACGGCATATATGGGATATGCCTGCGAGCATGTTTGAGGGATCGCTCCAGATAGGCCTCGCCAGCCAGATCTTGTTCGACCTGGCGACGAGTTTTACCAAGCTCTCGATGCTTGTTCTGGTGTACCGGATCGCCTGCGCGGCTTCGAAAAGGCTGAGGGTTCTCGTCATGGCGCTCCAGATCTTCATCTCGGTTAACTGTGTCGTCTTCATGACGGTAGCTATGCTACAGTGCCGGTAAGTCCATCTTGAACGCCTCTGGCCATCTCTCAACTAACAGTGCAAGGCCCCTGAACCTCTACTGGACGCTTTCGATGGAGCCGCAGAACTGCATCAACGAGAGCACGCACCTCTTGGTTGCAAGCATCATCAACACTGTCACCGACTTCCTGGTGGTTCTCCTGCCACTTACCACCGTACGCGTCGTCTATGCCGGAAAGCTCACCACGAGGCAAATGATTGTTGTCAACCTCCTGTTTGGCGCCGGCTTCCTCGCCTCGTTTGCCGGCGCGGCGCGAACATACTTCACTTGGATCATGACCTCGCAGCCAGACGCCAGCTGGCATGCCTGGATCAACTGGCTGGTGTCCTCTATTGAGCTGTTCCTGGGTATCATAAGCACCAGCATACCCTCGACCAAGCCGTTCTTCAGCAGATACATTCCGAAGCTGATGGGCGCGAGCTTGCGCACGTCGGAGGCCACCAGCGCCCCCGGGCTCACGGACAAACCCACCAAGGCCTCCGTTGATATTAGTCGGGCCTCGAACGACTTCAATGCAGAAGACCCCAAAGCCCTTTCGGAAGAATTGCAATCTCCAGCAACGAGACGGTTCAGCAACGCAACGCTCAACAAGCCGTTGCCGGCTGTGACGAAGAACCGCTCGGTGTACACCATCAACATTCAACTCGACGAAGCTAGTTTGGGCCCGGCCGACAGGACGCATTCCCACGAGGATCTCATCAGGGAACAGATAGACTTGGCCTGGCGCCAAGCGGCCAACAACTTTAGTCGCCCGAGGGTTTACCACGCCCGGAGCATCTCAGAGCCGGCGAGTCAGCACCGACTGAGCATGTACAGGGAAGGTGAAACCGGGCGGGACAGTCGCAGAAGCGACCACACGTCGGGCGAAAGCAGTCGACACAGTTACATCCTAGACGACATTGAGAGCGTATACAGCCAAACCATTGGCGATCTCGAGGCAGGGGTCCGCTACAGCCCCTACGACCGCCTCAGCGTCTCCGCGGTGCCCGCGCCTCTGCGGAAGCACAACAAATCTGTATCGATCAACACGTTTGGAGGTTAGCTGGGCGGAGCAAAAAAAAAAAAAAAAGCATGTCGTGTGTATGCATGCGGGAAGGGATCCATCGTACAGCGTTTGGGGCTCCTCTGTTCCCTTGGCCGGCGTTTCTTTGTTCTGTTGGGAGGGATTACCTGGGCGAGGGTGGCTGCATTCCTCGCGGGGGGGCGAGGACTCATGGTACACCAATAGGAGCGGGCAGTCCCTGCATTTTACTTCCTCTTTCGGCCATGTCTATACTTTTTCATCCAAGATACTAGGGAGCCGAACCCCCAAAACTTTAATAAAGACGTCCATGATCCAACAGTACAGACTGGTTCTTCCTCGGAGGAAGCTTCCCCCAGTCTGAAGTCCTTATCTCTGCGACCGCCCCTCCATCTGTACGTTTGCTTGATCCTCGGAACTTAAAGGGGCGAGGCATCCCAAACAGCCCCGAACTCTCGTCCCCCGTCAAGCGGTACGGATGCCGGACGAGGTGAGGTCATTGGCCCAACTCTGTTCCATCACCCTCCGTCTCGAACAGAAGAGGGATGTTGACGGTCCGCCGCTCGGGACCGTTCCCGACGGCAGCCGAGCGCGCGAAACTCTGTCTTGCCGTTACTTCCGCTGACCACATCATCAGATCATCACACGAGTCCATCGAGGCGGCGGTCGAACAGAGGAAAGAAGGACTCCAGCATCGTGTACAACTTGCTTGCCCTGCAATGTTGAAGCATGCACCCGCAGCGCAATCGACATCGGCCTCCTCCGACAGACCCTCTCGAGAAGTCTAGATACCATAGGTACCATGTAGGTAGCCCCCATGGCGCCTACACTCCGCTCCCTTTCTCCATGCCCTGCCCCCCCCCCCCCCGTCGTCGAACCCAAGGCGCCCCCCCTCAAACGCACGACGATTGACCGTCCCGTCCCCGCCCTCTCCGCTGCCGGGATCGCTCAGAGAGTGAACGGCGAGGGGGGGGGTCCAGGAAAAGCAAAGAAAAGAAACGGCTCCGCCAACGTCCCGCTGCAGAGCCGGATCCAATTCGGAGGCCATCAGCCCACTCCCACGTGGCTCTCCCAAAGTCAGGCAATCGCCGGCATACAACCGCTTCGGCCTTGGCCTGCCCTTCTCTCTCTCCTTCATCTGGAAGCTTAACCACCCCCCGCAGTAACCGCGCATCATACCTAGACGACGGCCGAGTGACGAAGAACAGGAGCATACCGATTCGATCGTCCGCATTTGACTCTCGTAGAAGGCGTAATCGATGGGGCCAAAAGTTAATCCTGCATCGGATGGCCCTAGAGCCCACAGACATTCCTATTAGCGGACACCTGGTGACGAACTCCCATCGATTGCCTCTCTGGGGCTTATAGACCTCGTCAAGGGAGGGGGGGGGGGAGGTTCGCCATCGCCGCCACGAGTCGGCCCCTTTGCGACATCCCTAACCTTGCCCACACCATGCTCTGCTGCACCTCCCGGTGGAGGAGAACCATTCGCTGCGTCTCCAAGCAAGCCGTCGATCAGAGCAGAGCTGAGCTTCGGCAAAGGGAGAGCTGTGATATTGAGTAGCGGCATGCTGTTTAAGGGTGTCCGCAGAATACCCTGGTCGAATGACCTGGGCCCCTCGTCGTTCGCTCGAGACGCCATGCTCGCCACCCTCCCTTTTCGAGCATTTGGCTCTGACTTCACCTGCTTTTTGGCTTTCGGGCCTATCCTGCTAAAGTGTGTAATTCGAAAACCTCGGCGTGCTCCTTTCTATCAAGTACGTACAGCAAACAGAGTTAGTCGTCTCTTGATCTTTTGCCTTTTGTCCGCCGTCCCTTCTTACCTACTATGTATATTGCGGTCGCACTCCCTGACGCAGGAGTCTGCCCTTGTCGCCAAAATGCTATACACGATAGCAAGGTTCTGCAGACGCGCGCTGCTCTGAGAACTGTACGGGCCCCGTGCAGCGGTAAAGACTTGGTCCGATCACACGAGGCCGTCTGCCCCTCCCGTCCGTACCGATCTTCGGTAACTGCCGTCAGTTTTGGTTGGTATTCGCCCACATCCCGTACTGGCGGTTGCTGCGGTTATCGGGAAGCCGCTCCTCTTGCTTGACTCGAAGAGCGTTGGGCGTCCGAGACGTTTTGTGCTGGCCTGTATGCCTTCCCAGAGGCCCAGGACCCCAATGTCTCGCCATCCGAGCTTCATGGGAGCCTCGTCCGTAATGCGGGCCAAGTAGAGAATTGCTGGGAGAACGCAGCCTAGTTCCATTGCAATACCGCCGTCGAGCGACAGCCCGCGGCTATTCTCATATTCCACGTGGTATCAAAAGCCGAGCTGAAACCATATGGATTTGGCCATCGCCACACGGTGGCACAGGTCTCCAACTCGAGAACGCGAGAGGCAAACGTGGAGAGCAACCCCCCTCCAACTTTGGACAATAACCGCGAGGACGAACCTAATGCCTCAAGAAACCCCGAGATTGCTCGATGCCATCAAATATTCCTATCAGCTTGCGACCGCGTACGACGTAATAGACTCCGACGGCGTCCAGGGGAGCCACTGTCCGAGGAGCCCGTTCATTTCCCCTTTCCATCACCACAACCGTCACCACCATGCCCGCGGGGCTGTACAGACAACCGATGCCCACCACCCCGAGATCCAAGACGTGGCCGTGCGCAGTGCTGCCGCGGCCGCTGCTGACCGAACATCACGATTGCGTTCTCGAGAAAGGAGATGGCATAGAGGAAACGGATCTCTGAGGATGAAAAGGCTAAACGGGCGGCATGAGCTAGCGAGCCTGCCGCTCCCATTGGAGAGAGTGAGAGAGAGAGAGAAGCTTGTGAGTTTATGCAAAATTACCTAACGAGGGAGACCTGGTACCAGAGAAGAGCATGAGGAAGCACCTGCTGGCTGCTCCTCTCGGAAGCCAATAGGCATGGGCCACCAAGCCGGGCTCGAAACAGAGCAGACGGAACGAACGCGGACACAGCTGCACGACATCGTCCCAAGTCCAGCCCAGGCTCGGCCAAATGCACCGCAATCACTTGCGCGGAATGCACGGGCGAGGAAACATGGGCTACGCTGTGCTTGATGTCAAGCCCGAGGCTTGATTCAGCCGTCGGGGTCAAGAGCCATTTCACTTACCGGTCAACCACTCAAGACGGGTGGCCTAAATCACAATGGCGAACAGTCACTCGAAATAGCGCTTCGCAAAGAGAACCAAATGCTCAGCACCATTTTCTTGTATTTTCTCTCTCTACTACTCCCTCTCTACTATCAGCCCCCTATATGCTTTCAATGAACAATGTAAAATCAAGTTGCTGTTGTTCCATCTTCGAGTCTGTGTAACTCGGCCACCTTTTTCTTTGTGGCTGGACCTCGTACTATGAGGGTTCCCTTTCCAAAACAAATATACAAGTTCTGTTGTGTCGAGCGCGAGCTCTTACATGTACCCTCTTCTAATAGAATTCCAATGTTGCGTAAAAATCAAACAAATGTGCCTCGCCATGTCGAACAGCATTCCTCCACCTGCTTCCCCTGGCCGCGGCTCGGCCTTTTCTAGAGCGCATCTCCTGGCTCACGAGTCTCCTAATGGTGTGTCCATGGCTTCCATCCTGGATGTATCCATAGCCGGGCGGCATGTGAATTATGTCCTTGGGCTTTGTGGTTCATCCACGGGAGAGAGGTGTATTATGGAAACACGAGTCCCTCGTGGCAATAGTGCGATGGCTCCTTAGTGATGACTAGCAATGTCCACAATTTAGAGGATCAGATTGCTGTCAAGGAACGAGCTCGATGCGCTTGCATTCGGAGCCGGTAACAGTCTGTGGTTGTAAAATCTTCAGGATTCTGCAACGTTGACCAGGTTAGTGGTTGTCTTTTTGAAAAGAGCATTGTGGGCTTTTACGGACCAAAAGTAGTTGTTCATCCGGCCTGGACGAAGTTCCGGTGGAAGGACATCTTGGTATCCATTGGCTGAGGCGGGCTCAGGTTGTATCCGATCTTGCCCATGGCAGACAGGTGGTTCTGGGCATCCTGAATGAGCTGGACGTTCCGGGTGTCCTCGGGTTCCTGGAGGCCGCGGATGATTTCCTCGAGAGCCTGGCGGTGGGACATCCACTCGTCAATGAGGGGCTTGGAGGATGGCTCCTCCTTGGCAGCAGCCTCCACGACAGCGGCCTTGGCAGTCACCTTGCGAGAGGGAGGGACAGGTCCGACGGCCTTAGGCGCATCCTTGCGCTTGCGGCCCTTGGAGCTCTGCTGTCCGTTGCTGGTGCTGGTAGGGGATCCGGGGACTCCATTGTCATTGTGAACGCGGCGCATGTGGTCCTTGAGGTTCCACTGGCGGGGGAATCCGTTGCCGGGCATGGCGCGGTCGCATCCCTCGTAAGAGCACAGGAAAGGCTTGTCGCCGTGACCGTGCATGGCGTGGGCCTCACGCTCGTGTCGGAGCAGACAGGCAGTGGAAGAGAAACGGGCGTTCTCGCAGGAGTCAATCTTGCAGCGGTAGGGCTTCAGGTGGGAGTCCACGAACTTGCTGTGAAGGGGGAGGGCGGTTAGTCGCGTGGACGGGGATTGTAAACGACGAACGGTCGACTCACTCGTAGTTGCACTTGAGCTTCTCGGGCTTGTGGTTGCAGCTGGATTCTCCTTCCCACGGGCAGTGGAACAGGCCATCGGCTTGCGGGGTAGCATTCTTGTACAGAGGGTGGTCCCGGGCGGAGTCACCCTCGTTGGTAGGCCGGCGGCTGGGGAAAGTAGGGGGCAGAGCGCCATCGCCAACAATGGTGAGGACACTTCCCGCGAGTTCGTCTCCCATGAACTTCCCGTTGGCGCTGTACAGAAGTGTCGAGTCAGAGGCTGACTCTAGGCTAGAGCAGCTGATCTGAGGAACGTACCTTGGAGACTGGCTTTGAATAATGGGGGAGACGTGCTCCGAGTGAGAGGGCGAGGACATGAGGGGGGCGGACAACCAGGAATCCTCAGTGCTTCCAGCTGGCGAGGATAGATGGGACTCCGCAGGGCTGAAAGAGTTCCACGAGGCAGAAGGAGAGTGAGCACCCAGGCTCGAGTCAGGGTCAAGCTGCATCTGAGCAGGCACAACGTGCATGTTCAAGTCGGCAGACGGGAGGCCGTCAGAAACCATGCCGAGCTCCACGGAGTTAAACCACTGCGACGAGACGGCGCTCGTGTCCGTGTCCAGGAAGTAGGGGTTCACGTCCATCAATTGGGCGCTGTGCTGGGATCCGTTGAAGATTGTAGCATTACCTGTGATGTCCATGGAGGACAGTTGGGCAGATACTTGAGACGACGCCGCAGAAGTCATTCTGGGTCGGGTCTTGGGGGATATGATCTTGGTAATCCTGTGCTTGCGGCTTCCGGTCGAGCTGCGCGAAGTCCCTCTTCGCATCGGCTCACCACCAGCGGGCACCACGGTTGTGGTGGGCGCGGCAGCAGTCCACTTGCTCTGCAGGTCCTCGGTGGCTTGGCCCTGTCCTCTGGGCGTGATGTGGCCATCAACTTGGAAAGAAAAGTCCTCGGAGTCTCCCGGATGGGCAGATCCGTTGTCTGAGAAGTCTTGGAAGTTCTGTGCACCTTCTCCTGTCGTTTCCCACGAACCACTCAAGGGGTCCGATGGTCCTGTTTGAGAAGAAAAGGAAAACATTCCTGTGGGCACCATTCCGGCGTGGAAGAAGCTGTAATCGCTGAAAGGGGTTAGTGTGCTGTTTCTCCACTATTCATATACGCAATGCAAACAAGAAACAAAAAGCAAATCTCAGCATGGCACAACTTTGTTCCTGTAGCACAGCAGTGTTAGCGGTCGTTGCTTTTACCTAAAGGTTCGGAGTTACGAGTTGACAGACCAAGCGAGCACAGATCCATTAGATCAGGCCAGGGAGAGGACAATTCCAGAGTGGGTCGATGAAGCAATGGTCCGGGACATTCCAGTGGACTAGACAAATAAAAGTTCTGGGCGGCCAGAGGCTCAAGCCAGTGTCGACATCCTGTACCTGGCGGCGGGAGATTGTGAGCAGAAGGCACCGATGGGCGGCAGGGTTGGTGGTCGCTGGGGGTGTTGGTTCCGTAAGGGTCGTCAGTTTGATGTTGTTCCGTGGTTCGAAGTAATCCTCATTGGGCCGGTTCAGTCCAGGTACGAAGTGTCGTCATGTGGAAACCATCAGAATAAACACGCAAGCCATTACCCATCCTGTCGTTGAGGCTGATGTCATGTAGAAAAATCCAGGTCCCTCAGTTCGAGGCAAGGGAAATCGAAGCATACGGAAATCCATGAAACATGAACAGACGAAACCAGCACGCGCAGGCGCAACGTGCCTTAATCCAGAAGCCAGTGTCGGAGAAGACCAGTACGAGCCTAAAATAAAGCTGTGACTGGGGGGGAGAACAGGATCCAGGGGAGTTGTGGAAGGCATCCTTGGTAGTCCATCCAATTGCGAGGCTGGGCAGCCTCTCGTCTCGGGTGAGACATCCAGTTTTCCGGGTGATATAAAATCCACGTGGGCTCTCCATTGGCAAACAGTCCAGGCAAAAATCCAGGGTCGAATAAAATGTCCAGGAGTCCAAGTTGCTGCTTGTCTCAAGTTTGCTCATTGTCGGGCAATACTCACCATCGTGAGATGTAATATCAAATTTCTTGTGACCGGTCTGGCGCGACGGCAAGAGGGAAAACCTCTGCACAACGGTCTCCTGTGTCCAGCGGGATGAAAGAGTATCCTCTGAAAAGGCTCCCGGGGAAAAGTCTCCTGGCTTGAAAATCCGGCAGATATCCTGGTTTCAAGTCCTTGGGTCGACGTCCTGCGGTATCAAGGCCTCCGCGGCCGGGAAGATCTGGTTGGTAGACTCGAAAGAAACAACAGAACATGACGTGCGCAATACATGACTTGAAGAACAAATGGACCACCCTGGGAACAGAGAAAGAAAAGACAATACCTAGAAGGTGTGTGGACGTCGTCCAGGTCAATAGAATTGTAGCCAGGCATATCCGGGCGCGGAACAACAAGGGCAGTCATTGATTCCTTGGGTCGTGTATTCATGCAAATCCAGGATAATTTGATTCAACTCGGGTGAGTTGTGTCGTAGTAGAGACCAAGGAGAGGAGCAAACACAGCGGGATGACTTGTTTGCAACGTTCCTGTGGAATGGTTGTCGAAGTTGGTGTCGAGTAGGATGATCCTTGGGGGTGGCAAGATGTGAAGATCCTTTTTGATCTTCTTAGTAGGGCTGCTGTTGAGCGAGGGCTGTGAGGGATGTTGGCGGGTAGAAAAAGAGAAAGGCGGAGGTTGGGTTGCCAGAACGATCAGCGACGCAGAAGGCAGAAGGGTTGGGCAGGAATGTATCTTGCGGGTTGGGCTGAAAGAAAGAGAAGAGAAGCAGATGTTGGGCAGGGAGGGAGGGGGTCAGCGGGTTTTAATGTTGCAGGACGAAGCGAAGCCTGGGCTGCCATTCCAGGGAAACCAACGAACGAGATGAGGTCTGCGAGGGGGTACCGGGGGGAAGCAGGCATGGCAGACTTGGGAGGGGAGGATTGGGGGTGGACACTCCACCACGTCGCCGTGCGTGGGCCCCTGCTATGCTGCTCTGCTGCTCTGCTGGCCGGCAACAACCCCTGTTCCGAAGCGCAGGCGCCCTTGATTCTGCAGGATAGGGCGGATGGGTGTGTGCCAGACCAGGGCTATCACAATCAACGTTTGTTGTTCACTTTGTCCACCACTCATTTCAGAGTCGGCCACTCTCATTTCTCTGCGGTGTGCCGTGTCCAGCTGCTGACCAGAGTCCCTGGGCTCCCGGACTCCTGGAGGGGCCCTTTCGAATGAATTCATCCGGGTGCTATGGAAGCAAGAAATGCCGCGACGTCGTGTGCCGTCGTATGCGCCGTGTTATCGGCCGTCACAGAGGCCGCAGGACTCGACGCTACATGGCGCTAGCCAGCTGGCCTCATTCTGCCTGCGACTGTCATAGGCCCGTTCCGAGCGAGGTTGGCGGTGACTGGCCTGCTTCCTTGATTTTCTTGACTTTGAGTTGGGTCCCGGGTGGATGCAGACCACGTCCCGGACCTATCGCGGTGCGCAGAGCCGGATGGCCGTGGCAGCTGGAGGGATCATGGCTGCAGCGACAACACATCCGCGCAGACCCTAAGAGCAAGCCGGAAGACGCACGCTCGCAATGATTAGAAAGGGGGCTTGCCCGGTTTGTCGACTCGCAGCGCCTTGGTGTTTGCTGTCGACGAGCCTTCATCTTGCGCCGAAGCTGCTCGTCCCATCCCATTAAGAGGAAATGTTGGCCTCGTTCAGAATATCCCTGGACCCTCCCCTCCCCTCCCCCTTTCCCTCGCACAGACGAGAGAACCTCCCGTTTCCAGTAGGCGTCTCGAGCATCATCAAAAGTCATGGCGCGATCTTGGACGAAGGAGTTTGATGCACATCAATCAACGTCCGCCATAGTGGAATCGATACTGTCACCTCAGCATCAAGCCAAGCCGTAAAGGCGCGGGCAACGAGCCGACATGCACTGTACTGTGTGCACCACTGCCGAGCGGGAGTAGCGGAAGGACGGCCTGTCAGCCCGTCGTCGCCTGGCCCTCGTCCTCGTGTTTCCCTTCTACCCTGCCGACGTCTGCTTGATTGGTATCCGTTGCCTCACGTGTTGGTGAAGCCGCAGGCCGTGGTGGGCGGGCCGCACTCGCTGACACTCACCGGTCGACGTTTCCATTCGCGACTCTGCACCACCCGACGGCAGCTATTTTGGCGTGTCCAATGCTCACTGGCCCGGGTCGTCGTTGTAGGTCGGCCGGCCACACACCACAAGCAGCATGCCACGCCCGCAAGACACACAGAAAGCGCTTCGCGCTGTGATTATTCGGGCCATCGCCAACTGGCCTGCCTCTGGCGGAAGCGGTCCTCGCCAACCATTTGCGACTCACATCATGACAATGCATTTGTGATGCATAAAGCAACATGCAGCGTGTGCCCCGGTGGTCGCTTGGACGACATCACCCAACTTTGTCATGCCAGCTCATTCATCGTATCATGGAACGCCTGCCGCCGTTGGTCGTGTTATTGATGCGATCCACAGGCGCCCGGCTCGATCACCAGCAATCGCTCCACGTCCTCGTCGCCTGGCAGTATGTAGGACTCCGAATCCCCGTCTGGTTAGAACAGTAATCCGTGCTCCACATCGGTCTGATATTGACACCGACGGTCTAACAATGGGGTGAAGCCGCCCATCCGTCTTGACTTTGAGGCCAGCATGAAGTTGAGACGCGGGGCAGACTAGTGTTTGGCGGTGTCATGCGAAGACAACTGAGGGAAGCTGACGTGGGCGTCGAATACAGGATGTGGGACGAGGGGAGAATGCGAAGACGTGAGACGAAGCGCCCGTTTTGTTTTTCTGTTTTTGTTTTTCTGGCGAGCGGAGAAATTGCCGATGGGATGGAAGGGGCCTTGGCGTTGTACATGGACGACGGGTAGCCGAGATCGAGAACAGCTGGCTTAAGCAATAAGGTTCTTGCTCCGTCGAGTCGCTCTTTCTTAGGTAAGGCAGAGAGAAAAACCGGCCACTTCCCCAACGTCCCGTCCAACGGAAGACATGTCGACTCAAGCCACTCGCAGCCTCAAACCAGCGCCGATCTTATCCGACCGACGGTAATAGTCACAACACGCAATGCTTTTGACACATCCATTTGACGATGACGAGGAGGATTAACACACAACTCACCTCGCGTCTCTTCCGCCCAGCCGCGAAACCAGAAGCTCCAGACGGCCTACATCCTCGCCCTCGCCATTGCACATGATTGGCAGGATCCGGTTTGATCACTCTCCTCCTCTCAACTGTAAACGTGTACTGTGTTGGTCCATGGTAGACTTATGCTGCGACCCATCCGTGCCGACAGAGTTACCGCCCGGCTACTCCCATTCCCCGGTCGAGCTACACTCGCGGATGGCCGTCCATTACTCGGTCATTCCCTGTCCAGTCTTCCACACCATTAAACTCTGTTACGCTCGTTCCCTCGGCAAGTAGCCCTCGGGTCGCCGATCCCCCTTAAACACGACATGAGGCAATTCGCACAGCATGGCGATCCTGTCCCGCGCGCCGAAACGTTGCAGAGATCAAGAGGCGAGATTTATCAAACGGTACGTGCAAAGATGCATGTATTAAGATATCTGTAGTAGGAGAAGTCTGTCAAGTGCAGTGTTCTTGCCCGTTTTACCCTGCGGTGGGCGATATGCCCCCATACATCGAACCCGGGCAAGTTAGGTGAAGAGATCCGTCCCAGCTGTACACCCTGCTCACTCTCCTCTCTCCGAGTCCTCCAATACCCCGAAACCCTATCCGGGTAGCGTCTAGGCACTGCTCGGGTACGACTGGAGAAAGAAGCCCAGGAAAGCATAACCTCCAGCGCAGCGCACATTCGAGTTGTTTGGGATCATGTACACGTAACCGCCCTGGTTGGGGCAGTATCCAAAACCATACACGACGGGGTTTCCGGTGGGCGAGCCGCTCGACTGGCAGTTGCCATAGTACTCGCCCGCGTTGCGCCCGACGTTGCCACAGGTGATCGGGTAGTTCCCTACGCGCTGCACGTCGCTGTACACCTTGTCGTTGGCAGTGGCCGGGTCGGGCTGGTAGTAGTCGACGAGCGTCTTGTCCGGGCTGTTGTAGTTGCGCATCTGCCCGGCATTGTCGACGTAGAAGGGCGTGGCCGCCGTGACGTCACGGACCAGGCGCAGTGCTCCGTTGCCGTCGACCGTCACGTACAGACTCCTGTCGCCGGAGCCTTGCAGGACGAAGGCCGTGGGCTTGTTCGTGGGCGTGAAGGCGGCCTCCACGGTGCTGGTGCTGGTCACGGTGACGACAGCAGCGGGGAGCGTCGTCGTCGCGGCGGTGATACCGTCGCACGAGCAGGCAGACGAGTAGCGCGCCGTGGGGACGAGTGTTCCGATGGTGGACTTGCAGGCCGAGTCGATGTAAGCCGGCATGCTGCTCGGACTGTTCCTCGAGGGCGTGCACGACGCCGCCGCCGCCGCGGTGGTGGTCAACGAGACCTGGCGGTCTTCCAGCTCCTCGCGCTTCACCTTCCTAAGGCCCGGGTACGGGTTGCTCAAGGTGGTAGTAAAAGACGTGACGACTGCAGTCTCCGTCACGGTCGATGCGCAGGGAGTCTCGGTGACTTGCATCCATGAAGAACAGTCCGCCGACGCCACCGCCGGGCCGGGCTTAGAGCCGATGACCGCACGGAAGCAGTTGTCGCGGTTGCAAGTGGCTTGGCGGCCGAAGAGCTCGTCCATGGGGGAGGCGACCACACCAGCAATGGTGCCGCTGACCAAGGCGGCGAAGAGCGAAGACTTCATCTTGGAGGGAGGGGGTGAGGAGAAGAGTAAATTTGTTGACTGATGAGTGAGGCTTTCAAGCTGCTTTCAGTTGAGGTGCCGTGAGAGTGATGAGCAAGAATATCCAACTGCCCATGACAGCGAGCTGTTCTTATAGACGGCCGTGACAGCATCTCGACCTAGGCTTCTTGAAGCCATCCACGAGCAAGATCGTATGGAGTTAGACTGAAGCGTAAAGCTGAACAGCTTCAGCACGCCTCGTCGCCTCGGTTCGTTCAATCCCAGCCCGTACCTGACGGCTCAGCAAGCCTCATCAACTTGCTTCAGTCCCTCCTGGGCTTCGCTTGTATCTTCTTTGGGAGGAATCCGTGAGCTAGCAGCCCAAAAGCATGGGTTGAGACAGAAATCCGCAGCTGAACAGTCAGGAAGATTGGCGAGCCCTCGGCTTCCCACTCCGGTCCATTCGTAGATATCCGCTTCCGGGGCGTCCGCGACTAAGCAATCCGAGAAAAGCATGGAGTGCGGCGAAAACCCTGTAGCCGAGCATCACAAGAGTCCAGCAAATCTCGCCAAGCCGGTGAGCCGCCATTTCGATATACACTTGTATCTCAAGCCACCATTTTGGCCGTTTGAGCCGTGGCGCAGACGCTTGCTGCGGGTGTAGCCGCCGCACGGCAGCCAACCGTTTAGGCATAGGCAGGGTCCTCCGGCGAACGTAGTCCAGGCTTGAATAGCGTGTGCGCCACGAGGCCACTAGCCACTGCTAGTGGCGGGCTGAGCCCCTGACAACTTCCTCATTCAGCTCAGCTTTTTTCCTTCTCCGCGATCGTTTTGCCGTGTTGGGACCCCCAGCTGCCCAAGGGGTTTGGAAATTCTCCTATTTCCACGAGCCACAGAGCCTCTCCGTTCCCGAGGAAATGGTTCTGGCGCTCAAGCATCGCCGGGTGACCCGAGACCCTTGCAACTGCGGCTGACTGACTGGTCTCATAGGAATAGAGTCTAGATGCTCCGTTCGTTCTTGCGGTGGATAGGGTTTACTATGATATCGTATTATGAATAGCTGCATAGGCGTGATTGCTGCAAAAGGAGTACATGGTCTTTTCGACTTAGCAAAGTAAAAGTTGCGCATTAGGAATGGCAGCACATTGGCGGCATGTTGCAAACCCGAACTCTGAACGAAGATGCAAATCTCAAATGTGCCAGCCGCCTGACTCAACCCTAGTCACCACGGCTTTGGTACTGGATCTCGACTGAAACAACTTTCGGTCTCGGTGTCTCCGTCTTTTTTCTTCCTCCTCTTCTTCCTCGAACGTTAAGCTTATAGTCCCCTCTCTGCTATAGCAGTGCTGTGATATCCTGCTCTGGCTCGATGGAAGGGCCATGCTGCTAGAGGATTCAGGAGTTGCCACCTCCTCCCGCCGTCTTATCAAGTCCCTTTCCCCTATCCAGTCACATCGAGGACCCGGTCATGAATATCCCGACCCAATACTGCATCCTCCCAAATGTCTTGCAATCTCCCCTCGGCGTCTGAACCGTCGGTCCAGGCGACCTCGGCGAGGACTGCCTTTGCCGCTTGCCAATTGTCGAGCTGCATCACACTACTCGCCAGACCTAGCTTCGCCGCATACATGGCCCTCCATTTTGCAAGCTGCTCCCTTCCTGTCGCAGTGATAGGCCTGCCCGTATTCGCCACGGCGGCACCAAACAGGACGCTCCAGAACCACAGGCTCCGGCTGAATGTGCCGGCAATCATTTCCGCCTCCATGTCGCAGACGTCGTCGATGAGCTGCTCCAGCAGCCACACCGTCAAGACGCAGTCCATCTCGCTGTCGTTGACTGCCATGACTAGGTAGAAGAATGTGGCGATGTAGCTCGCCCTACTGCTCTTTGCGTCGCCGTTTAGCATTGTGGCTATGTTGCGCTCGGGGTCGAATCCTCGAGAGAGCTCCCAGTTGAGATTCTTCGTGTAGTCCTGCCAAAGTCTATCCGTTGGGGTCTCGTCGCCTTCCCACCAGCCGTATCTCGGCGCCTGTCGCGGCGGCAGACTCTCCATGTCCCACAGTGATGTGAACAACAGGGCAATGATGCTAGGCTGGAAATCAGCACTAATGGCGTCGTGTATGACGCTGACCTCGCCTCGACGTAGACGGTCGCCGGCCCTGCACGAGAAACGTCAAAATTCCGGTCACCCACGCGTCCTGGAAGAGGCACCTTACATCTCCAACATTTTCTGTGCCAGGTTTGACCTCATCAAGTTGTAGCCATTCTTCCTAAGCGTCAGTCGGTGAAGACCTCGCAGGTGTTTGGAAGAGGCATCTAGATCGCCTACAGCGCCCTTGGTAAGGTTAGCCAACAAGGTATCAAGACGGGCTGCTGACGGCAACACACCTCGGTGAGTGCTAGTGTGGCTATTGCGAAGACGGCTGTGTCGCTGACGGTTTCCGCAGACTCGGACAGCTGCTGCTTCGCGAACTCGTATGCCGCCGTCTTGTGGTAGAGGAACGGGACTTTGACATGTTCGAGAGAACCAGTTACCCACGCCCACTGACAGGCAGCGACAACCAGACACCCGTGGAGAAGACCTGGATGTAGAAGCGTCCGTTGAACACTTCTGATGGTCAGTCTCGTTGGATGCCGTAAGGCGAGGGGGTCAATGACATACCTGCACAGATTGTTTCCTCTCTCTACTGGAGTCTGACCCCTAACGTAAAAAGTAGAGACTGGGGGAGCATTAGTTGGATGTCTTTAGGACACGTTCGTGCCACTTACATTGGTGCCATAGCCACTGCGACGTGGGCGACATTTGATAGTCGCCCGAGAATCCGGCGAACGGCTGATGTGACACGGCATTGATAAGAGGAGCCGACGCCTCAGAGGTGACGGATTCGGACGCGGCTCGAGACTCATGGTCGTCGAGCTCTGGTTCTGGATAATTGCAGTCCTTGCCAGTCTGCAAGCAGTTTGTGCTGCAAGTGCTGTTAGCCAACAAACAGTATCAAAACGGGGCCTAGACTGGTCTGATCAAGGACGGTCAAGGTTTCTCCGAGGTAACGACACAGGCGAAGACGCAAGAGAGGAAACAATGCAGAGAGAGAGAGAGAGACAGAGAGAGAGACAGGGGAAGAGTGGAGCATACCACAGAGGCTTGCGCTCGTCGCAGCGCACATGGCGCTGCTTGCATGTCGTACAGCCGTGCTTGCTTCGGCGGTGGAACTTACGGACTCGGTTCTTGGGCGGTGCCATGGTAACTCGGTCCGCCGGCGCTTCGGGTGTTAATGATGCTCCACGCAGTCCCGGGGTTCAAAGCGGCGCCGAATGACCATGCTTGATGCAACAGCGGCTATGCGATCCAGGGCGGGATTGATCATGCAGGTGCATGAGATCCCGGACTCAGCTCTGGGCAGGAGAGATGCACACAGATAGATAACAATATTTTGAGGTATGGAGAGGGGAGATCAGGCACATACGCTTGGGAGACTGAGAAGAGTTCTTCATTTCTAATCGGCCTCCTGAGCTCTGTGCCATGACGGATACGTCGCTGGCGTTGACGATGATTGGCGCAGGGTATCATGTGGGAGTTGCTACACGAGACGTGCATGACAATCTGTCCAATCAGACAGGGCAAAGGTAAGCTAGTGGGTCCATAAGCCGTTTGGTCGGCCCTGACAAGGACTGGAGCTTTCTCCGTCTCCGTCGTCTGCGCGCCGCGTCTCTCAACGAACGGAAACGAGGGAAGAGGAACGGCTCAAAGGGGAAGGGGCGATCAGGAAGGCGGCAGACTCCCGGCCTGCATCAGCAGTAAAGGATCAACGGCAAGCGTCAACCATGATCCGAACTTGTTCCAACTTCACAGGGCTCGCTGGTTCTCGTTGACGAAGCGAACGGGTTCCAGAACACGATTGCATTGGCTCGCGTCATGGACCAATTTAACACATCCGAGTCATCGTTTGCTAGCGTCGAGCGTCAACCTTGTTCTTGCTGCTTCGGCTAGCCATCGGGCCCCTTTTGCAACCTAGTTCGGAGAGTGTTGTTTCTTGCGGTCAGCATCGAACGTTCGAAAATGCTTCCGTGGCTGGGTCCCTTCTGCCGTCGAAATGATCTCTGCAATCCGTCAACCAGGATCCCGCCTTTGCTTAGGCGTGGGCTCGATCTGGAGCCGCTATCCCGAACCAGCCGGGATTGACGCATCTCCCGAAGACGCGAAGCCGCATTGACGAGTCGGCGAAAGTAACCGGTCATGCCCCTCCGAATCACCAAATTTAAAGTGGGGCGCGCCGGTCGTGATTTCGGCCTTGTCATGCGCATTTTGCTCCGCCATGCGCACCATCCCGGACTCATCAATGCCCGGAAACATGGAGGTCCCAAGACCTTTAGCTCCTGTGTTTCGGCTAACTTTCAGCGATGTGCTCTGCTCCGCTCCAGAGAGACCTCGTCTCGACGAAGCATGCGAAACAACAAACAGCCAAGCCACCCACCTTGGCTCAATGCGCTGGGAGACTGAAGGTTACCTGTCGACACATGCAGGACGAACACTCGGCTTTCTGCAACACCTGCGCCTCTGCGTGCTTAAGCTGTCACGGGATGGAGGCATACCTCGTACACACCTAGACGAACAATGGGAAGCGACTGAAACTGCACACTCCTCTACCACGACTACGAGTAGCGAATTACAAATGTCATCGCAAATTGGCTACATGATCGTCCCGCGGTGTATCCCCGCAAACCACGAGGCGCCGCCTGACAGCTCGTTGAGCACAAAGCAGCCCGTCAACCCCCTCCTCCACCCATCAGTCTCGGGTCGAATTGCCTGCGACTGCACCCGGAGATCGAGCAATCTCCCCACGCACATGATGCACAGATAACATGGCCCGTCCGTGATGCTTGGTCAAGTTCGATCGGCTGAGGTTCTCGACAAAGTTCCCAGGATACTGGGGTTAACCGAGGTGCACGTCATCCCGCCTGATTGGCGATGGAGGTTGATGTCGATTGACTAGTCACCCGCAGCCAGCAAAACGGCCGGCTGCGCGCCATTGGCCCTCGCGCCGCCCAGAGGCTTCCATTTTCCCACCCCAAATCTTCTCCAGCCAGCCCCATCGACTGTATTCCTGGCAATTGTTCATGGGCCCCGGCTCCCTGCCCCCAATTCAAGACAAGACACGTCCAGCTTCACGTCGCTACGTCAAGGTCAGATCATTCGATCCTTTTGCGAATCATGGAGCTTTTCCCGGCCACCAGCCTGGCCTCATATTGAAGAGGGAGTATTCAGCAGTCAGCACGGTAAGGCGTCCACGAATGTCACTACGGAACACGTCCATCGCTGCCCGTCGTGATTGGCTGTCGTCGCTTCTCCCTCGCTGACGGTATCACTGTTGGGATACTTGCAAGGTAGTGTAGGGTTCCTGATTCGATGATGCACAAAAGCAACTTCATCTCTCTAAGTGGGCATCAAGGCATGGTTGGGCACGCACATTTCGCACGTAGCGCGCGTCCCCCCCATCGTATCGGCCGTCGGTATTTGCTTGTCCAATTTGTGCCCAACCCAGCGTGCTGTCACCGCTTCTTCTCCCACTAGGTACAACCCTGCACAAATCATCCCATACGGTACCGAAAAGCTACTCCGACTCTTCGGGCAACAATTCTACAGCCCAGCAATGGAAAAGTTTCTGTCACAGCCCAATCGGTGCCCTACTCTACACATCTGGCTCAGTCCTCCCTCAGGAGTTGGCATGTCCAATGGCTTCCACGCGCCAGCCTTTACTGACCAGGCAGAGGATTTGTTGTTGTTCTGGGGTCTTCCCTGAGAGAGGGGCCAACTGTCAAAAAAAGTCGACCTGGCATCGCGCGAAATAGATGGGGACGGAAGGGCACCAGCCATCAAAGGGCACGCTGATCTCCCTCATCACTCGCGTGTCGAGCCCACGATCCACGCTGCAAACCTGGCTCAGCAAAGCTAGGGATGTATGCCAACTTGTCTTAGGGCGCGCACCGTCAACCAATCTATTCCAGGACGCCCGACAGACGAACCTTCTCGACTACAGCGCTTGGCAGTCACGTATCCTCCAGCCCATGCGGCAGCCGTCCGCTTGAAACCAAAGACGTCTCCGTGGTGTTGGTCATTGGGGCGAATGCAAATCTTTCCTTGAGTCTCGCCGGCCTGCGTCCGTCCTGGTCCCTGTCCTACCCTCCGCCTCGACTTCCCAACGGACCCCATCTTTCTGCCGTCTTGACTGGGATCAACCATTTTCGCCGCTTCAGTGCAACGCCCCACGACGAGAGCCATCGCAAGCAGACATAAATGCCTCCATTCCGAACTTAATCATCCACTGTCAGGATCCTGCCCGCTCCCCCATCCTCGTCCATCCCAGGAGCTTGTTGGTTTCTTCTTTCCCGTTTTGCGCCAGCAAAACCAGACCTATCCCACTAACCCCCTAGTGCATTTCACATCAAGCCATTCCCGATCATCTTATAAGTCATTTAAGGTGGCCGTCGTGGAGACAGGTCGTTTCTTGGACTGATCACCTGCTTCCCCTCCAACGCCCACACCGCCCTTGCAACGACCCGGAGTTCTTCAAGGGTGCCATCCTGGAACAAGACCATTCTGTTATCGTGGATTCCCTTGTGTTTGAGGAGACATCTTGCCGCATTTTCCCAGGAATACTTGGCCGGAGATCACAGCCCAAGGGACTCTTTCCGGACACCCAGGGCTGACCTGCCCGCCCAAGGACTATTCTTATTTCACGTGGCTTCCATCTCTGGACCCTTTGGAAACCTCCAAAGCTTTGCTGCTTGAATTCTCTTTCTCTACCGTTATGCCCCGGAAGAAATGGCTCAGCCGGATTTTGCCTACAGACCATCAGCCATGTCCAACGGACCGTGGAACTCGACGCGGAGGTACGGACCGCTTTCTTTTATTTCCTGAAGCCCGAGGAGGGAAAACTGACCGATGAGACAAGTTCAATGTACAATGACACATTCCCGCCCGCTGGAGGGTTTGACAACAATTATTATCGCTCATCAAGGTAAGAATCAGACGTCGAATTTTTGCCATTTTACCCCAAAGGAGCAAGCGAGTAACACCGTCCCTTTCAAGCGTGTCCACGTACTCGCCCGGAGCCAGTAACTATAACCTGCCGATCGGAACAAACCCCCATGCTGCCGCTGCTGCCGCTGCTGCTGCTGCTGCCGCCGCCGCCGCCGCCCCGGCGTACGGATCGCGCCCAGCTTCCGGTACTTACGGCACCAGTGGTGCTGCTGCCTATGGCTCGTACAAGAGTACGAACTCCCAGGCGTGGGACCACCAGGAGAGATACTCCCCGACGGACTCGGTCGACGACATCATTGCATCCCCGAACCTGTCTGATTACTCCCTCGAGAACGGAGCCAGCGCCACACCCCCGAGCAAGGGAAAAGCGAATGGGAAGGGTCGGCCTCAGCGTAGACCGTCTAACCGCGACGAGTTCGACGGCCCGCATCAGTTTCTCGCCCGTCCGCCACCAGAATATATCGCTATGCAAGAGCGCGAGTTACCTCACCTACCTACGAACCTGCACGTCCAGGAGCAAGACCTAGTCCTGACCCAAGTCAACGACCGACTCTCGCAGTGCGCCTACGATTTTGTTGCCAAGTACCAGTTTCCGATTCCCTTGACACAGGATATGCGACCTGTAGAGCGGCCGCAGGACCGCGAATGGACGGAATGGGTGTACCTTTTGAAGCGGTTGGCGACGAAGCGCCGCATCCCGGCGCGGGTACTTTACAACGGACAGATCAAGCAGTTTGTCACGATTCTCGAGAACTCCCTGGAGATGCGGCATGCGGCCAAGCACCAGAGCCGGCCATTGAAAGACGACCGCAATATCCTACAGCTCATCTCGGCGGGCATCCAGGTGGCCAAGATCCTCAAGGATGCGAGCGCCATGGACTACCTCGACCGACTATACGTTTCCACGGAGAAGCAGATCCAAGACCGCGCGGCTGCGCGGTTCAGAAGTTGAATGGCTTCTATGCTTCCCACATTACTCGCCCAGACCTAATGCCGACGATGACGTGGTTCAAATGGCAGCCTCGACGAACGTTCCGGTGAACCGGGCCATTATATATATATTTTTTTGATGAACTCATACGGACCTTACGAACTTGAAAGTTATTGCAGATGGACGGGATCCTTCTCACTCTTTAGAAGAGAACATGAAGAAGAGGGTAGATGATATTGACACGGAACCCTGGGGGCGTAACAGGACGACAGGACCCCCCAAAGGCACGACGCAGGGAGGAAGAAAAAAACCACCACAGGCTAGCCTAGCTCAACCCTCCATCTCTCGGCAAGCGAGTTGCGTCTTGTTTGTTTGGTGTTTTTCTTGTACTGCGGAGGATTGGTAATGATGCCCACCCACTCGGGCAGAAACAGAGACCTCCTTGTTACTATTCCGAATGATCTGTTTTTACACACACACACACACACACACATATATATATATATACCCTACTTCCCCTCCCATCCCTTTTTTACGAATTGGTTTCGCAAGCGAAAAAGGGAACGAGCATACTACAGGGAAGCGATGGGCGCTACGGGTTTATGGGAAAGGGTGGAAATCTGTCCTTGTACATTGTTGGTTGTCTCTTTGTTCGGTTATCGTCGATTACATTGTTATATCTTTTGCACCATCACGGCGTGTTGAAGGGGGGCGGGGGGCTTCAGAGCTGTTTCGAAGGGTCATGTTTTCTTTGACATGCTTGACCTTACACTTGGGCTCCCGGGCGGTTGTTTGATGTTGTTGCTGTTGCGGCCATGTGCGTCTGCATTTGGCTCTGTAGTTCTTGTCGAGGAAGAGCAATTTGGACATCTCCCTACAAGTTTACCGTTTCTTCTCTACTCACTGGTCTGGGCGGCTTAGATGAACCTTCGGCAGTTTGATATCCATAGCCCTTGGCTGGGCGCGCTCTCTAGCGCCAAAGAATCTATGCAGTATCTTTTCACATTTGGCGGTATCCAGTTCGTGAACGTCACCACTTTGGAGGTCCTGTTTTAATGCATTGTTCGCTTTCTGGCTTCGGGGTGCTCTCCATACACATGGCCTAGGGGCCACAGCCCCGTTGCTTTGCATTCTGGCACCAGTGCATCTGTGTCCACCAGGAGTGGCAGGAGTCAACGACACCTCAGTGGTCTCCCTCTGGCCTATGAGTGCGGTTCCTCCCCCCCCCACCCGATGACGCCTGCGTTGGGCTGAAATGAACGGTGATCATCGGCCGACGTGTATTTGCTTGCGTGCCTGACGGGGTGGCTTGGGCGGGAGCAATTAAGGGTAACGGCGATCGGTTGGGGGTTGGTTCTCTTGATTGAGCCAAGGATGGGAACCGGGGCCGTAAACGACTCGATGTGTTTTGTGAGGAAAGGAGGGGGAGACTGTGATGTCGCATCCCGCCTGATGGGTCCCCTGGGGAAGAAAGGGGCCAAGACTGGGGGTGGGCGAATGGCGAGACTGGGGAGAGAGGCAATAGATGCGATCTGCACATCGCCGCTTAGAAAGTTGTTGCAGTACGCCACTGTGCCCCCCCTGACGACTTACGTCTAAAGCAGGGCAAGAACTGATTGGTAGTGCGATGTAAACCTACAGCTTTCTGTAATGGTTGTCACTGAACACACCAACAGACGATGGGCAAGGTTGCCAACGGGATGGTGGGTGGTGTTGAAGAATGACAAGCTCGATAACAGGCACATGGCAGTACAATGCCGTATTCTGGCCTGGGCGCTGCCCTGTTGCATTCTTCAGTTTTGCCGCTCACATGCCGACGCTGATAATAAGACTTTTGCAGGAGCAAGGCCTTGTGACTTGTGCCTTGTTCTTGGTGCAGACGAGGCTTGTTCCGAATACTGAGCAGGCTGGTGCTAGGAGAGACATCGAGGAGGCCACGGTGACCAGGAACCAGGGTCGCAAGGGGAGCGGGATTCTGGAAGAGCGTTAGAGTCCGATGGAAGGTGGTTTCGAATCTTGGCTGACTATATATTGAATAAGCAAAAGCGTGTGGCAGCAAGGGTTTGGTACTCTGTATAGGTGGTGTGTGGTCATGGTTCGGTTAGTTTGGACATTCTATCTTGGGGACATTTGCCCATTGCTCCAAAGCCGACCGAGGGTAATCCAAGGAGATTTCGGGGGAAGAGTTGGGGGAGGGAGTTCGCCCACACAGAGAGGGCTCACTGGGTTAACCTTGGCCGGGCTGGTACGAGCTCTTTGGTGTGGAGTGAGGGTGTTGTGCCAAGCAAAGGTAGTTCGGACTCGGAGCTCTGAATTGTTGTTTCGAGATTTGGGAACCAGTTTCGTGTTGAAGTGGACCAAGACGACAATAGTAGACGGCGCTGAAGCTGGTCTGCTGTTGTTGGGTATTCTGCTTGCAACATCGTTTAATCTCAAACCCTCTGAACAACTGCCGGTTTGTGGTTTCTGCCGGAGGAGCTGCGGTAACGGCAACAGACTAGAGAGTGCGGCAGGATGCCGACGGGAGCGGCGCGGAAGTTCTGGCCGGCTTTCCTCTCTCAAGTGGCAACTATTGCCAAACTATGAACGTGTGAGCGCCGGACGCCGTGGTCGTCGTTTAGCCTCCAGGCCGAATGAGGTTCGTTAGGTGAGCTGTGCTGTACTAGAGATGGCCGACATGTACTAGGCGTGGGCGAGTGTGTCTTGTGCCTACAAGTCCTACTCAAGCGCCGCGCGCGCTAAACCTTATCTTGGCGGGGGATGCCAGGTATCACTCTGGTCGTACAAGTAGAGAGGCGAGTCGATCTGGTTCGCTGCACGCCACTTCTGTAGTTGAAGTCGTGAGCAGGGAAAGACTGGCGTCGAAGAGTTTGACTGAAGGCAGTCCCGCGATTACATTGACTGTGAAAAGTATCAAGTGCGAAGACCCGCAGAGCATTTCCTTCAGAGACGCGTAACCGGAGCTTGGGAACGGTTCATGATGCTGGAAACAAGGTGGCGTGGAAGCACGGAGCGTGGGAGGTTAGTTCGAATCAAGATCTGATCGAGACTTGATGTTATGACTGCAACGGTTCTGATATCGACGGGGAGCGGGATGCAGTCCTAAGGGATGTTGGATAGTGGTCGATGGTCAAGGGGGTTCGGGACTCGGGCCGGTTCGCTGATGCACGCGCATCCGTCGATCTCTGGGAAAGTCGTCAGAGTGAGTAATTCAAAACTATCTCTTCGGATGTAAAAGAGTTGTATAACTAAACCAAGCTGGAGTCAGGTCTTTGTTCCATCGATCAATGTTAGGTTAGGTGAAGTTTGTCGAAGCGAGAAGCACGACCCAAGTTCGCTTAGATGGGGGGGAGAAGTGCTGATCACCACGAGCCTGTCTCACGAAGAGCCACCAGTCCCTACTTGTCGGGATCATGTCGTGCCTTCTGCCGCGACTCCTTGGAGTGCCAGCTGATCCAACAGGACGTCTGTGAGGTTCTGTCTTCCACGCCACAAAGCCAGGCACCTTCTGTCCCCCGTTACAGGCGCCGAATCAGCTTCGGTCACCCGGTGTGGCAAAGGGCCTTCCCGCACCGCCGAGCCCCGGTGAACGGCCGGTGATGGATCGGGCTAGCGAAACCAGCACCCAATCAATTGAGTGGTTTGGAACCCGCCGTCGGTCCCAAAAAGGGTTTAGCGAGCTGAGGATTGGGAGTTCCAAGGGGGGCGAAGACTGTACCGTAGTAGTGTCGGGTCCAGCTCATTCAGCAGCAGACCTCAGCAAGCCCAGAAGGATTGCGCGGGATGTGCTGCGGCGGCGCTGCTAACTGGTTGCTGGCATAGGGGTGACACCGGCCTTCCATTCGTATTAATCTTGTTGGCCGCCCTTTTTCCCGCCCGATTCCTAACGTTCCCGCCCTCCTGCATGACTTTCCCGAGCGGTAAAGAAGAGCGGGAAAAAGACGAACTGTCAGATTGACGTCTTCGTGCTCGAGTCCGACCCCAGAGCATTTTAAACGGCCATTTCCTCTGTGTTTTTATGAGTATTGAATGACGACGGCGACAGCGACGGCTACGACGACGATAAAACCACATCTGGCACCATCGCTTCCCCAACAAGGACCCCCGCGCGCGCCAGGTTCCGAGATTGGGCGTCAGCATACACAGCCCTCCCCCCCGGGCAGCTGACCATCTGGCGTTGGAGAAACAAGTTCGCCTAACATTTGACGAACAAAGAGGTTCCCAACTCATCAATTCGAACTACACGGACCGCTTGAAAGCATTCGGCGCTTTACCGACTCACCAGCGAGGCACTTCCAGCCGCGATCAATACAACGTCCGAAGCGAACAAGTCGTCACTGCCTCACGCACCACCGTCCGCAATGACGTCCGTCTCCTCGAGAGGCCCGACGCCTCACTCCCCTTACGACGCCCAGTCCGCCGCCGACACGGACGAGTCGTGGCAGTACCTGGACAACGCATCGTACCCGGCCTCGGTCGGTTTCCTGCCTAGCCCAGCCAGCGGCAGCTTAAACGGCTATGCCGTTGTCGGCCACCACGCCAGCTCAGACCCGGCGGGACTATCCCCGCTAAACCTCGACCTCGACCCCGACCAGCCCGCCTTCTCCGCCGCGAGCTTCCCGGACCAGGCCGAGACCTTTGTCGCCCCGGCCCCAGCAGCCGATGGCCAGTTCGTTGCCGGCGGTCAGGAGTCGGACTTCCTGACGCCGCAGGGCTATCTCTTCTCAGAAGAGCAGGTCAATCTGAATGGTGAGCCCAGTCTTGAGGTCCGAGTCGTTTTCGTGCCTCCGAACTGACAGTTTGCTTCCCAGATTTGACCTCCTTTGTCAATTCATTCCAGACGAACGTCCCCCTGACGGGTCTGGAGACATTTCCCCACCACCAGCAGGACGACATCAACCTTTCACAAGCCTACCCATCTGATGCGAATCCAGGCCCATGGAGCCCGACAAACCTCAAGGCCGACAACGGGAGCTCCATGTTCTTTATGGAGGATCTCTCTTCCTTGCCGCAGGGCTCCGCATCAGGAAGCTCACCTCGCTCAAACCCGACCTCGCCTGACATCAAGTACGAAGGTGACAAGGCCACCACATCCAGCCCCATCCGCAAGGTCATAACCGGCAAGGTCGAGAAGAAGAAGGTCGCCGAGCCGGCGAACAAGTTCGTCATCGTCACACCCCACTCCATCAACGCACACTCGGGCCGGCCCAACCCGTTCGAGTGCTTCGAGGCGTTGAAGACCCAAACTCGCGGGCGCAAGGGTCCGCTAGCCAATGCCACCAAGGAGAGCGCCTTGCAGGTCCGCCGCCTGGGCGCATGCTTCTGCTGCCACAGCCGCAAGGTCAAGTGCGACTCGCAGAGGCCGTGCAAAAACTGCAAGAAGCTCGCGGTCCAGGTGCCGCAGGTAGTGTGCTGGCAGTTCTCCGACTTCCTCACCGTCTTGTTCCCCGACTTTATGCGGAGCCACTTCCGGAAAGACCAGATGTCCCGCTTCATGACGGAGAATGTAGATCTCGATGCGGTGGAGCTGGCGCCTCGCGAAATCGAGCTCTTTTCGGGTCTCTCCGCGTCGCTGAAGGTCAAGGCGAGGTTTTTCAGGCCCCGAACTGCCGACGTGCAGCAACACTATCATCTGCACGTGCAAAGAGACAGAGTAGACCTTCAGGCTAGAGGTACGGCGCCGATGGTGTTGGAGCTGGACTCGGCGGCTCAAAGAGAGGCCCTGAGGAAGAAGGTGAAGGAGTACCTCGCTGCCATCGCTGCTGAGCCCAAGTACGCAAAGTCGGTAACGGAGTCAATACGGCATACCGACCTGCCGAGAAGAGTGTTGGACGTTGTGCAGAAGTATGCCAGCAAGTCCGATGTAAGATGCTTTTCACCCCTCTCAACGAGACCGCTTGCTAACCTTGTTCAGTCTGCAATGGTCAAGAAAGCCCTGGCGATATACGGCGCCCACTTCGTCATGACCCGGCACCTCTGCATCACTCGGCCGAGCGTCGTCAGCCTGCAAGATTCGGGTCTCGTGCCGCAAGAAGTACCGTGGGTGACGCCGCGCGTGCTCAACAGGCAGATCAAAGCGGTCATTGACGAACTCCTGATGAGGGACATGCAACACCTCTTCGACTCTTTCTCGAAGTCACTCAAGCCCAAGTCGCGACGGGAGTGGGCGCCGTGTATGGCGTCGTTCCTGGTGCTCTGCCTATTCATGGAGTCGGTCGAGACGGCGGCCGACACGTTTGTCGTTGCGCTTAACGAGATTAGCCTGCGCAACCACACGCCACCCGAGTACCAGCGCCAGGACGCCCTCAATATCAACCGGGAGGTCGAGAACATGCCGTTCAAGCAGTTTGCGTACCAGTTCCACCAGATCTACCAAACGCACAGCCGTGACATGTCGACGAAGCCATTCAACCCCATGCTCGACAGCTCGTGGGCCGAGCAGGGCGATCTGGACGGGCCGGCAACGGAGATGGTGATGGGCCTTAAAGAATTGATCCAAGGCGACAGTTGTAGGCCTCCCCGAGACCCCAATGGTCGAATCATTGTTACTGACGCGGTGTTTGCAGATATCGAGCTGGACTTTCTCACGATGGACCCAATTCTTCCCAGCAGCGGGGAGCAGCACCCGTTTCCTCGCGACGTCTCAGTGAACTACACCGGTCGGTTGGTGGCTAAGTTCTTGCTGTCGTTCCTGGACGAGAAGTACATCTTTGGCGAGAACACCCTCTGACAAAGCTAAATGTCTGGGATGCGAGTCGTTGTGGAGTTGCAGTTTTTGGAAACGCGCCGTCAAATACCCTCTTAGTTTTCAACGGGCAGTCACGATCCACGATCACGGGTTGGATGAATGACACTGGCATAATGAACGAGATTTATAAAATACGCGATAGTGAACACACCAGCCGCAACTCGAGCGAGAGCGACGTGATATGTTCGTCCGATTTTAGTCCTGGAGCCACACTTGTCTCAATGGCATCAGGGTGGAGCGGACCGGTTGTCTAGACCGTTGGTTTTGTTCTCCCACTCGAACGATATAAAAAGTAGTTGACACTCTTGCGCACTGAGATCGCGAGGTGTAGGCAAATCGTGGGGTTTGGTCACTTGTGACCGATGTTCGTGATGACAAGACTCTTCGGTACTTCGCGTGCGTCCGCTGCGGTTGGCATCGGCACTTGCACAAAGTCCACCAACAGCAGATTTGGTTCAGATTCGAGGTCAATACTGCCTCGCGATGTAACGAGACAAGTCTGACATCAATAGACTGAAAAGGACCATGCATATGGATCCAGACCCTGATTGGAATTCGGGGCTGCAAGCGAAGCCGTTTGAGTGTCGATGAGGAACTGAGAACGAGGAGGAAGAGGGGAGGAGCGTGAAAATATACTTTCCCGAGAAAAACACGTCGGCTGGAAATGTGGAGACGCTCGTCCTCAATCACGGGTTAACGAGGTGCTAGCCCTGATTGGTTATACTAGCTCAGGCAGCACTGCTTACCTAACCAGGCTGCCGATAGGCAACGACACCTCCTACTTTATGCCGAGACCCGTTTTCCCGTTCCTTGCTTTCCCTCTTTCTTCCTTACACACTTTGCACCAAAATAATCAACCGACCATTGACGTACTTTTTCTAGTTATGTTCGGTCAGTTTGAGTGCTAGAGGGAAACTGGGCTGTGCCTCCCATCCAATTTTCTTGCGTTCTGGTTCCGTCAATCATGGCGGTGCACCTCACCGAGAAAAGTCAGTGGGGGCGTGATTTCCGACATACCATATCTTTGCAATGACTGTTTCCTTCCACCTGTACCTGTCTACGTCTGCAGCAACTGTCTCCAGCGCACCTTGCCGGCCAGTGTCAGTCAGCCTTAGCCGATCGACTCACCAGAGATTGATGGATGCCTGTTGCAAGTGCGCAGAGTTGTTAATGTCAGTCATCCGGGGCAGTGTACAACCCTGGCTGCCGACTTGACGTCTCTCTTTTGTCATTATTCCGCTTCGCTTTCTTCCCTGACAGAAGGGCGCATCTGCGCTCTCGACGTCCCTTCGCCGACGCGCAAAACCCCTTCGCCCAAGGGTCCTCTCGTCCACGCGCGGGCGCGCGCTCATGGATGGTGGATGCCTTATTCAGTCACACGCAAGGCGCGCACATGCCAAACCTCGTGACATGAGGCCCAAGTCTCCATCTCTGGGCTTTTCTGTCTTGATACAGAGCATCGCCAGAGACACTGCTTTCAGGCAGCTACCCCTTCTTGCCTGGAAAACTGGGGTCGCTGCCTTCTAGCGTCTGGGGCCCCCATGCCGGTCTGTTGCCGTATGACCCAGGCAGCACAAGGTCCCAGCCTCCCCCCACGGTCGCAAGCGGCATGCCATCTCGTCTCTCATCTCGCCGATGTGGTATCATGTTTTCTTTCGTTCACTTCCGGAAGGAGGGGTGCTTGTCACCCCTCGGCATGTCGTCAACGCCGTCACATTCAATCTGACTCACTGAGCAATTGATGTCTTCGGTACGCCTTACTGTGGCAGGGTACAACCATGTCTGGCTCAATATCAAACGCGAACTCAAGGCGCCCGGCCTAAGCGTTCCTAATTTTTGGGAACTCCCTTTATTTTGAAATATACAAATCATGGACGAATCAGACCCCGCGATAGCCTAGGTTTCTGGGGGCTTTCATGGGCTGGGCAGCACAAGCGCAACATTTTTGCGCATACGCGCGCCCCGGGTTGACATGGGGTTAGGCAATGGCCATGTCTCGACATTGATATTATCGACTCTGTAGTTCGGCATGGCTGTGTTAATGGGTAACATGTCATGACTAGGGTTTAGGCTAGGCCGACAAGATCGAGGCACTGTCTTGTCTGCCTTCAGAGGCGTATTATGTACTCTCCTGCCTTGAGGGTGACTCAATCGAAGCCATGAGGCTCAATTGTTGGATATAAACTTGATGCCTTGTGCCTTTTCTTTGCCACCAACACACTCCAACAGACACGCCTAAACACAGTCAAACCAACAATCATACGCCTTCCTCACGAGACAGCCACTCCTCCATACCACTTTGATCTATCGACTCATCCTTACCAACAAGTAAACCAACCGCCACCATGAGCGCTTTTCCCTTCACTACCTCCAACATGTTCTCCAAGAGCGGCGACGATGAATCCAACAGCTATCCCAACGACCCGAGTAAGTCGCCGCTGAAGTACTAGTCTTGCTGTTTGATGCCTCAAATACTAACCTTTGACAGCCAACGGTCGCTAAGTAGCGCATGACGCAAACCCAACCAGATCTTGGCAACAAGACAAACATCTTATACCAACGGCGTTTACGGGAATCTCTACGATATACAAGACACGGAATCATACAGCAGGAGCATTGTCGTTTGCCTCACGGCCTTCCATTGGCTCGAACCACAATATGTACTATATAGAAAGAGGGGGTGTGGTTCATCTCAGATTGGCAAGATCCCGAGCATAAGGCTGAAGAGGGGCAACAAAGCAGGCCAACGCGGCCTGCTTGTGTCCTGAAGCCCGATGCGATACCTTGCATTACACAGCGGCGTCTGTGACATTTTCGACATGATCTATTGGACGGCGAGAGCAAGCTCTAGGGGTGTACACTACAACGACAACTACGATAGGGGATCGATCGACTCCATTAGGCAGTAAGGGCGGGAATTGACATACGCATTCGTACACATCTCATGCAGACGAGGGTCCTCCACACTTCCGTTTCCAACCAGTGACAATCCCCCGCAGCCGATGCCAGGCGCCCTTCATCCGTTTTAGGAAATCGTGACATGTCGTCTTGGTGGTGGGTTTACGCCCTTCGGGAAGGGGGCTGAGGGGGGGTGGAAGCGGCTGGGGCGGGATCTCGGGCCAACTGGTGTCGTCTGGCGAACCCCTGATGACGAGGCTTGGGGGTCGTTTGGTGATGGGTACAGGGTGCATTCTGTTCTGACTGAGGCATGCGTAAGATTGTTTGATGCCTTGCCAGGAAGGATATGAGCGTTCTTGGCGTTTGGATAGTACCTTGTGTTTAGCTGAAGAATCTGCCGACGTTTTGTGTACTGCTGCTTGATGCAGCTCCATGAACAGCGCAAATCACCCTGTTTTATATCCAATACTTTGGTCTATCATGATGTTTCCAAACTAGTAAAGTGATCATGTGTCAATTGATGGAAGTGTCAAGAAAGGACTGAAACTTCAGAAACTCCGCTTAATCAAGCCAGACTCATCATTGATTGCACTGGAATTTGAAGGGCTTGCTGCTGATCAAAAGATACTGTCACTTGATTTTACAACGACATCACGTGCAGTTGAGCATTGGTGGTCTCTCCGTGGGATGCTCATTCGGATCACCTGGAGTTTCTAGAAATTACTCGGTGTCTTCTGTTGCATGGGTTGTTGTGAGGGGTAGCACATCGTGGCAAAGTGACACACCACCACCATCCCGACTGGGCCGGGCCGAACCAACCCAGAACCGTGGAAAGCGCGCATCTCGAAGTAGGTTGGACAAGTGCATAGCGTTATCATATCTCACATCTGATGGAGTGGTTAGTCTTCTTGCTCCAGGTTTGTGTTGCACCTGAACCAGGCAACCTCGCCAACGAGGAATGAGGTATTTACATGACCAACCATTAGTATGAAGGCATGTTTCACGAAGCAGAGACAATCATAGTAAAACCGAATAAGCCAGCGCTTCTATCAGAACCAACAAAGAGAACTTTGAAGTCCTGGAGTCTTTTGCTGGCTTTTTTCTTCCTTCTTCTGCAAGGTCCTTTGAGAGTATGCCAACTACACCCCTTTTCTGTTGGTGGCTCCCGAGCCCTTCAACCAAACAGTAGTCGGCCACTGAGCGACCAACGCAACGAGTTGGATCCGGTCTCTTCACGTTTTCTAGACATGGTTGAGACTTACCTCATGCTTTACCGCCTGGATGGCAAGGGAAGAGTGCCCATTAACCTAGTGTTGAACGGGATGCTTGCCAGCCGTGGTAATGTCCGCCCCCCCACCCTCTTGGACGGCCTCCGGCATGCAAACGAACAGACACATGAATATGGGTGCCCGGCTTCGGTTTCTTGATTTTAATACCCAGAGTTTTCTGTCCTTCCAACTTCCTTCTTCATCTTATTCTCCAAAAGACCTTAAGGCTATTCAATCGAGATTCTACTCTCTACGGCCAACCCCAAGGAGATACTTGCAGCCACCCTCAAACCTCTCTGGCCACCATGGATATCAAGGATGTCTCCGGAATCGAGGAATTTTCGGCGTTCTTCCAGCAACTTCAGGTCACCGCTGAGAAGGCCAGAGGCAGGAAGGGGCAGATTCCTCATGACCATCCACTGCCCAGCATGCTCGTTAGTCAGTTCAATATGGAGCTGATACAGGCTATAGCGATGTCGACCATAGACAACGGAAGAGTCAACATCAAGACTTCGCAGGTGCCCCCAGCCTACATTCCGTGCTCCCGGCCCGCGAACGAGCTCGAACCCTTGTCCATCTCCAAGATGCGGCAACGCCCCGAGAAAGCGCTGCTCGATGCCATCAGTTCCCGCAGCAACGGCATCCCGACTGAGAAGGGGCTATTTCGGGAAGCCAAGGCTTACTACGCACTGCAACAGTTTGACCGCTGCGCCAAGAAGCTGCAGCAGGTTCTCGTCTTGAACCCCGACAACAAGGACGCAGAGACGGACCTTGAGCGGACCGGACGCCGGATCTTTGAGCAGGTGACTGGGGACTTCAAATGGAAGCACATGCACAAGCAGTCCGAAGCGACTCCCCCGATGATCGACTGCGCGACTTACTCCAGCCCTGTCGAGGTTCGTGCCTCCCCGGGCCGCGGAAGAGGGCTCTTCACGGCGAAGGCCGTCAAGACCGGGGAGCTGCTTCTCTGCGAGAAGGCCTTCTCGTACGTCTATGCCGACCAAAACGACCCCTCCAGCCGCAAGAACGTCAAGATCCTGATGAACTTGGACTCCAAGAAGATGACAATGGGTGGGCAGGCAACTCTCATCTCCACCATTGTCCAGAAGCTGCACCACAACCCTGAGGCCGCTTCACACTTCATGAGCTTGCACCACGGAGACTACAACGGAGTCAAGACCGCTCAAAGAGGGCAGCTGGTGGTTGATACGTAAGTGGAGTTTTTCGTACACGTACCCTTTGACTGCACAGCTGCTGATGTTCTCCCAGGTTCCTCGTCGAGCGTATTATCAATCTCAACTGCTTCGGTGCTCCAAGATCGACCCTCGAGTCCATGAAGAACAAGGCGAATCAAGTCCAGGAGGACAACAGTTACACCACCTGCGGCATTTGGACCACAGCGTCCTTCATCAACCACTCCTGCGTCGGCAATTGTTACCGCTCCTTTATTGGCGACATGATGATCGTGCGAGCCTGCAGAGACCTTGATGCCGGCACTGAGCTGCTGTTCAGCTACGAATTGCCCAAGGAGGGAGCAGACTACCAGGCCACCCAGAATGATCTGAAGCATTGGGGGTTTGTATGTCGCTGTGAGTTGTGTGAGGAAAAGAAGGAGACCTCGCAGCCGATGTTCCAGAAGCGCCAGCGACTTGTGCGGGACTTGAAGAACTCGATGAGAGCCTGCAGAGCTCCAGCCCAGGAGGCGAAGGTGCTCCGACTCCTGTCGCAAGTGGAGGACACCTACCCCGGTGGCAAGGGAACGCTGCGTCTGGATATCTGGGAGGTTTACCTAGCACTGGGCCAGAAGCGTGCTGACAGAGGGAAGCTAGCTGAAGGCCTCGAGTTGATGATCAAGGGCCTTGAGGCGCTCGGCTTTGAGGTCGTGGCCTTCCCTCCCGGAAAGCCGTCCGGCAAGCCGACGCTGGAGATCAAGAAATGGGGCCAGGTCAACGACTACCTTGTCTCGGCCTTCCTCGCGATGTTCCACGCTTACAAGGTGCTTGCGCCCGAGTTGTGCGAGGTTGCCAAGGGCTATGCCGAGACTGTGTATGTCATTACTCATGGGGAGAAGGACACGATTGGCACTTTGTTCGAGGAGTTCAAGTAATCGTGGCGTCTGGATGAGGCTACGAGGAGGGAGGCTACTCTACACAAGCCGCTGGGTTGTAGCGTAAATCCCAGTTTCCATAGGTCACTCCGTCAAACAGTTCACGTACAATATGCATTGGCATCACGGTGACCAGTATGGGACTATCAATGATATCTCGTTTAACGGCGTAACAGCATGGATGCTTGGCTCTGCTTTGCTGTCCGTTTCTTCAGCCAGAGAGGAAAACTTTCACCAAGATGCATGACTGTTGTACCTTGCCAATTTACTACCCTGACGAGCTCGCTAGCGGCATCACTCCGGGGCGTGTTACCAAAAACCTTGGTGGTGAGGATGCTTAACCCGAACCGCAGCCTCCAGCACCACCTCTTGGACTGTGTAAGTCGAACGACACCACAACTTCCATCTCACCATCATTGTCTTCGCCCAAAACATATAGATCCAAATTGCCTACGGTGTTGGATTGTCGGTCCCGAATCTGTCAACAATCTGGGTTGATTAATCGGATTTCCCTACTTTGTCATACTGACGCTTTTGCTTTTAAGTTGCGGTGTGTTACAACAGCTCCGTGCTTGGTGAGGCGACCGCCTTTGGTGGAAACCAGCGGTTCGTCAGCCCCCGTCGCTTTGAGCTGCGTGCGTGCCAAGCAAGGAGTCGCAAAGATGCCTCAGACACTAGCAGGCATTTTTCTCAATGATTTCGTGTATAGCCCTTGAAACATAAAGCATGCGTACCGTTGGCTTGGTGGAAGAGCCAAGCAAACGTATAACCGTGGGTTGTACTTCAAGCAGCGCAACACTATAAGATGGGGTGTTGCGTTCGGGCACGGTGAGAGGCAAGCCCCTGCCTAGTACCTTATGCCGTCACTGGGACGCACCTGTACCACCCACCGTAGTAGACCTGGAGGAGCTCTGATTTTGGAAGGGACCGCCTGCGGGAGGGACCCACTCAACTTTAATTGCTAGCATCGCCCAGGGCGTTCCGATCGCGTTATCGCAACCCACGCCAGACGCGTCAGGTAGGAACCCACGTCTCGCCATGGAGCTCTCGTCGCCCCTGTCGGACGTGTGCGCCGTGTCGTCTCCAGCCTCGTTCCAGACCGCATTTCAGTCTCCCGATGCCGCCAACGCAACGAGCGCATCCGCGACCCCCGCACAACCCAGGCAGATGTATTCCCTCGCGAACCAGCTCCCCCGCGAGCTGAAGGAGCACTGCCAAATCTACCTGGAGGAGCATCTCTGTGTGTTGGCATCCGGCCCGCAACCGCCGCATCTTCCGCTGACGGGCATCTAGACAATGGCGCGCTCGGCCTCTACAACAGCCTCCTCACCGCGGGCTACTCGCGCAAGGACGAAGCCAACAGGAAGCCCGTCCACGTCCCGCCGTTGACCCACCTCGCCCTCCTCAGCACGCTGGCCATCCATCCGAGCCATACCACTCGCGCCGCCGGGTCCGACCGTCTCGAGATCGGCTCGCAGACGCTGGGCTACCTGCGCAACCTGCTCGCCATCGTCGGCCCCGTCAACGCCGGGTTCAAGGACGCATTCCAGTTCCACGGGATCCAGTACGGCCGCCGGAACCGGTACCACGAAGAGGAGGACGACGACCTCGACGGGGACCAGATCACCAACAACAAACTCGCCGGCGAGGACAGCATATGGCAGCGCGCGCAAGACTTCTGGGCCGTCGTCGGCTGGGCCTTCAACTGCAGCAGGATCCACCCCCACCGCTGGCGCTTCTGGAAGGTCTGGCTGGAGTTCATGCTGGACGTCCTCGAGACGGACCTGTACGAGCGGAAGCGCATGGACGAGGACGCGCTGGCCTCCTCGGACGAGCCGCAGGAGTGGACCAACATGAGCGAGTCCATCCTCGTCATGTACATACGGCAGAAGACCGACTCCGGCAGGGGCGCTCTGCGGATGATATTGCAGGCCGTGTTCGCCGACGGCTCCACCTCGTCTATGGCCAAGTTCCCCGAGGTTTTCAGCAAGGAGACTAAGGGGCTCGCGAGCGATGATAAGAAGCGCAAGCGGACGGCCACGCTCGACATCGACAACGACCAGTTTGGCGACTACTTCAACGACCCGACGGACTCGGAGCCCTCGGACACGGGCACGCCGGCGACCCAGGCCGAGGGGGCTACCGTGCCAGTGCCGGCCGACTCCATACCGCTCCGCCTGCGGCTGATGGAGCTCATGTCCGAGGTCGCCTACGACCTCCCCGAGATGTTCATGGAGCACAACGAATACATGTCGGAGCTGTGCCGGCTGCTCAAGCAGCAGCCCCTGTCGTTTTTCCACCAGTTCGTCACCGACATGGACGTCTACGTCCAACGCTACGAGGGCGCGTTCAAGATCGACCTCCTGACCATACAGCTGGACCAGCTGCTGCCCAGCGGGTACGAGGACCCCAGGGCGGTATGCAAGGGCGAGGGCACCGGCATCGTCATCAACGCCGACGTCCTCGAGCAGTGCTATCTGGGTGCGCACGCAAACACCATCGACCCGGACGACAACGCCAGGGTGGCGCTGATCCTCGAGAGCCTGCTCCACGTGCTGTCCGCGGGAGATATCAGGGACGCCAGAAACCGGCTCCGCGAGGCGGTGGTTGAGGGCATCGAGGCGCGCGAGGCCAAGGCCAGGGCCAAGGGCCCGAGCAGGAGGGGTGCAACGGCCGCGAGCCATCCGGCCCGCGGCAGGAAGGTCCCTAGTGCGCGGGACGCGTATGCCAGGGAGATGATGGACCTGGCAGGGGAGCGCATGCTGCTGTACATCGACATCATGGCCGCGCATACGCCCTCGGAGGACGAAGACGAAGACGGCGACGAGGACCAGAAAATGCGGGACTGAGAGGGCGTTGCTACGAGAGATCTGGGGGGGGTTTTTGCATCTGCTACAAAGGGGGATACTAGGCGTTTACAGGGAGCCACGGGGCTCAAGATACCCACACTAGACTTCATCGAGGTTCAGAACATGCTTCATCTGCCATATATTTACTGCTTTCGCCTTCCTCCTGTCTCTCACAAGGTATTCTGGCGATGAACCACAGAGTTCCCAAGGGATCCTGATCCTTGGCGTGGCCGTACGGGAAAATCCCAATCGAGTAGGTGGGGTAGCCGATCGCATCGGCGCGAAAAATCCCCAGAGGCGCCCCCGCCAAAAGCCTGTCACTCACACTTCCACTTCAAGCCACGAAAAGCCGTCGAACGTGACGACCCCCGGAAAACCACGCGACAATGCCGGTAAGCAGAGCCACGGCCACATTGGAAACACGGGTCCAGCCACTGACAGTCACGCGATAGCTCATCATCGTGTCGGGCCTCCCGACGTCGGGCAAGACGCACCGGGCGAGACAGCTGCAGGCCCACCTCGCCGCCCGCATCGCCGCCGCCGCCTCCGCCTCGTCCTCTTCGACGCCCGCCGAAGGCGCCGCGAGCAACAACGATGCCGCCGCCGCCGCCGGCGGCAAGCAGACGTACAGGCTTCACTACATCTCGGACTCGACCCTCTCCATCCCGCGCGACGTCTACGACCTCGACCCGGAAAAGGTGCGCGCGCACACGCGGTCGGCCAACGCCTCGGAGAAGGACGCCCGCGCCGCCGTCTACGGCGCCGTGAAGCGCGTGCTCACGGACCGGGACATTGTTATCCTGGACGGGATGAACTACATCAAGGGATGGCGGTATCAACTGCATTGCGAGGCCAAGGCCGTGAGGACGCCGAGCGTGGTGTTGCAGATTGGATGCGGGGTGGAAAGGGCGAGGGGCATCAACAAGGAGAGGTTGAAGAGGAGGGAGGAGGGAGCATCCACGGCGACGAAGACGTCGACGCCGGCACCGGCTACGACTACCGAGGCGGCGGAGACCACCGCGAGCGACAACACAAAGACGGGCGCCAGCGAAGAAGAACAGCCCTACGAGCCGGACAACTGGGAAAACCTCGTCTTCCGGTACGAGGAGCCGAACCCGATGACGCGGTGGGACAGCCCGCTCTTCACGCTCATCTGGGACGACGACGCCGCACAGGCCGCAAAGGTCTTTGACGACATCTGGGACGCCGTCGCGGGGACGGGGCGCAAGGCCGTGAAGCCCAACCAGGCCACCGTCCAGCGCAGCCGCGACGCCGGCGGGGACTACCTGTACGTGCTCGACCGCGAGACGCAGGACGTCGTGAAGCGCGTCCTCGAGGCGCAGGGCGACGGGGACGAGGGCGGCGAGGTCCAGGTGTCCCGCGGGGCCGCGGAGACGCAGGGCAAGGAGCTGGTCGTGCGGCTTCCCGGGCGCAAGGTCGGGCTGCCGCAGCTGCAGAGGCTGAGGAGGGCCTTTGTCGGGCTGAACCGCGGGGGCATCGGGCTCGAGGGGGTGGGGAGCTTCAGCGTGGAGAGGATGAGGGAGAGCTTCGTCGGGTATCTGAATGATACGTTTGACCAGGAGGGTTGATTGGGCGGCGCGAGAGCTGCATTGGTACCCCGGAGTCTATACAATTGATACCCCCTTTGGAATGGTTCACAATTCGCGGGAAGATTGCCCGTAAGGTTGTTCGTGAGGTCATGTGCGAAGCAGGGGACCGTTAGGCTACGGCAGTTGTTCGGGTTCGCTGTCGGAAACTCTGCTCGTCGCCAAGACCGCTTTGGTGGTTTCCTTTTTCGAGAACCTTTGAGGCGTGCTAATAATACTTCTGACTTTTAGCCGATGTTTTTTAGGCGGGCACTGCATCGTATTGATGTTGTTCGACTGCATTGGGACATTTGCGACTTGGACTACATCACCCAGCGTCTGGACCGTCACAGTCAACTAGTCAACGGCAAGCATGGGCATGGCTACTGTTCAATGGCATACATTTAGTTGGGAATGCCGTGCCCTCCAAAGCGGTATCGCCCACATACGCATTGGCGTGCCGATATGGAAGCCACCTGTTGGTAATGCTTACGCGGCGAGATCGTGAGCCCATCGCACTGTGGAAGGCAAGTTGCCTCGGAAATTCCATCAATCGCTCAACAAAGTGTACGGCTGAGGGCGTGTGGTTTCTGTGCCGCAATGTTGTCTCTCTGAAAACCGGTATTTGGTTCCCGTTCGGGTGGAATCGCTGGTTCTCCAAGACCAAATCAGGAGATTTTTGCGTCACCCCCTTCCCTTGATTGGCACAGCTAGGGAATTTGGGCGAGGGCGGGCGGCACACGCTTCGGGAAGCCTGCTTGTTTGTTTGGTCCTGTCCCGGCGGATCTGATGAGCCGGCCAAGGCGATCAAAAACTCCTAGAAGGGTCTGGGACGTGTTGGCGCACTTGATTTGGCCCACCTCGGAGTCGGTGTTGAGACGGCCAGAGAGATCTGGGCGTGTTTGCTGCGACTCTGGCAATCGCCAAGAACCGCATCTTGCCCAAATCTCAGTGGAGCCAAAACGGCATTAGGACGACTCGGCGACTCTAAGCAAGGTAAAACAGCCACCTGGATTCAGAGCAAGGCGGTGTCCCTTTCCCGCAGTCCTGGATCAAGGCAGATGCGGCTCGCCAACAGGACAGCACACTACTGCCTTGTGACTGGTTGTACCGGTAGTATGCCCCACGTTTGGGATGGCTCAGACGAGCGAAACACTGCCGCTACGAGCCGAAGCTTTCTCTGGGTTGAGCGTATGACCGGGATTACAAAGTCAGACAGGGAGCGCAGAGCGGCCTTGGATGTCACGGAGGCACCCGAGATGGTGATCTAAATCGAACAGGGAGTTTCATCGCGCTCTGAATAGATTCAAGTTGGGTAGGGGTAGGGTCGCGGCATCGGGTGAAAGCTTGTCGTGGGCCAAGAGACGAGGGGAATGACGGAGGCGGGGGTCACGGTGGGTTGGGCAAAGTGCATCTCGGATGGCAAACCGAAGAAGGGCTAGAACATGGAAGCAAGAGAAGGCCGGGGATTCCGAGGAGCTGGGAAGCAAAGGCGCCGGCATGTCATAGTCTACCGTGCCGGTGGTGATGGTGGACACTCGACAGCAATGTGGCTCTGGGCACGTTTGGCAATCTTCCTTTTGAGCGGTTTCCTCAAAAGACGCCGGATGTGTGGACCGGCCGGCGCTGGCTCCCGGACGAGTTCGAGACGATACAGGTGGCCGTCTGCTGGCCAGTGCAGATGCGTGCCGAGTGTCGAGAGTCGAAAGTGGCGCGTCGGCCTCGCTGGGCGGAGGGTGGAGGTGAGACTTTGCCGCTTGCCTCGCCTTTATTTGGCGGGTCTCTTAGTCGCCTCACATCGAGTCGCCTAGCGCCAAAACCGGCCCAGTCATGTGTCGAAAAAGGTGAGCTGACACGATGCGTGATCTCTAACTAGGCATCTGGGAGACTCGATTGAAAGCAACGAGTGAGCGGGCGGTGGAGCGAGGAAACCGGGTGTATCCGCTGCGACAACGTCAAAGGGGAAAGTACCCGTATGGGCTGATGATACTACCGGTGTCGGGATGTGGCGCGAGAGATGAGGCACAAAGTGTCTTGGATGTGTGCAGATGCAGTTCGTCTGGAGCGACGACGACAAGTTTGCAGTTGGACGGGAGGATCAAGATGGACGACGAGGACGATGTGCACATGCTGCCTGTGGCGGCAGCCAGCCAAAGAAACGGACAGTGGACAGTGTGTGGGAAGGGAAGGGGAAAGGAAGGGACGATGAAAGACGGACGGGAGGTCCCCCAAGGCGAATCGCCAAGCCTGTGGCCGGCCACGAGTGATAAGCTTTGCCAAGAGAGCCAGAGCCAAGACGGGCAGGTGTGGGAGAGGACTGGGACGTGGGTTTGGGGGAAGAAGCATGAAGAACGGGGGAAAAGGAGGAGAGAGAAGGAATGCCAAGGGAAAGCTCAAGCCACCTACCAAATCCCGTCAGCCCATCCGTTAGATAATACTGTGTAGTATCTCATCGAACCCACGCTGCTGGCGAGGCCAGAGAAATGAGCAAGGCAGGACAGGAGGGTCAAGTCTGGCACGCTGCAATTGGACGAGACCAAGATTGGACAACCAAAAACAGGCACACCACCACAGCGCCCGGCCACTGAGGCACCGGTTCGTTCGCCTGCAACCCGCCGATGTACCTACCTACGGCGGTGGTCTGCGGGGCTCGATGCAGCCCACACAATCCGATATTGGCCATTGGCTCAGGTATACTACCTATGTACTATGTAAGTAATAGCAAGTAGGGAGCCAACATCAGGTTTTGATCCGAAGGTCACCCGCCTCCCTCCCCTCCCCCCAAAGCGAGCCGGCGTTGCACGGCTTGCACGGATGGAGATTCTTTGACAGGGCATGGCAGCGCCGCCGCCGGGGCAACTCTTCAACAACGTACGCCAAGTCGATGCCTTGGCCATCGACGAGATCACCTCGCACAACGATTCACCCCTAGGGAGCCCGTTCACGTGCCATTTCGCTGGCAAGCTCGACAGCGAACAATATTGACCGATAACCCCTGTGTCGATGAAATATTGCCGTTGGTCTGAGCTTCGGCTCTCCTCCTATTTTGCGGGCTTTAGCGACTGCCACATCGCCGGGAGGAGACGACTGTTCGATTCCAGCGACTCAGGTCGGGGCAGGGAAGGCGGAAAAAGTGGTTTTCGATACCAAATTTCCCCAGTCACCTCCTAGTGTACATAGTAGTGTACTGGGCAATTGGCCCATTAGGACGTTGGTCCGCTGCCATGGGCTGCAGACGATCCATATTTCTCGTCCAGAACACGTCCCCATTGGACGACATGCGGACGGATGGCCAGCCCGGGGGAAGGAGGGGGGTGGCCTGGAAAGAAGGAACGCAATGCTCGAGACCCCGACACAGTGCTGGATCCTTCGATGGACGGGTCCATACCATCATTTCCCCATCCAGGCCAGTGGCCGCCGAAGCGGGGCAGGGCAAGCGGCAAAGCCTACCTAATCCGCAGCGGACGCGCTGGCACGACGCCCTGTGTCCATCTTTGACCGGTTCAGATGGTGTCCTCCGTCGACGACGTCCACCGTTCACCGTCCACCGTCCACCATACACAAACGTGCACTCGGTTCCCTCTCCAGCAGGGACCCAGCGGGCGCCGCTTGATTGGACGCAAGCCGAGGACGCGACAGGCACAGCACACACCAGTTTAGAGTTGGCAGAGCCACGATACAGAGTAGACAACAACGGAGCTGATGTCACCGCTTCCCCTCAAACCCTCGTTCTCGACGTTTTACTCTCGCAGCTTTAGCATCTGATGCGATGAGGGGACGGTGAGTTGGGAGAAGGTTGAGGGGTCGCGCACTTTGTCAGTCCTCTACCCTTTCTTTCCGTGTTTCAAAGGGCCAAGACAAAACGCTCCGGGCCCAAGGGACGGATGGCGGCCGTCTGAATTTTGTCCTTGATCAGCACGGCTGCGCGTCTCCGTCTCAGGGTTTCCCTCGAGGCGGGGAGGCTTAGCCACCGTTCGCTCGCACGCAAATGGCAGGCTCTTTAATCACTTTGACGGTGGGGTCGACAATGTACATACTGTGGTAATACCTAGTACAGGCAGCCCGGCCAGTCTAGCGTCGGGCGTACAGTGTCTCACTCTCCTGGTTGGTACGTACTCTCGACCATGTTAGATAATCAGGGAGGTGGAACACGCGATGCAATGAGTGGCTGACGACCCGGGCGATACGTACACACATAGCATTATTGCTGCCGCTGTCGCTGCCATCGCCAAACTTGGGACAGTGTAGTGTATTGCGTCGTCCATCCGTCCATCCGTCCTTCCCGTCAGTCCAAGACGGACCGGGGAAGAAATCGCATGCTTGCTGTATAATGTGATTCTCGCTAGGCAATCCCGTAGTTTGTACAGAGGAGTGTAGACGATACACATGCCTACGAATCCTCTCACGGACTATGGATGCCTCTGCGATGTCATACCCTCGAGCTTTGCGAACAAGTCTTTTGCCAAAACACGCGATGCGGATGCGAACGACAGGTGACTTGACTGCCCTGCCACTCGCCAGTTCCCCCTCCTCCGTCTGATCTCGATGGCCGGGCTACCGAGGGCGTCTTTGCCCGCCTTTCTCGCTGCAATTCCCATGCGACGGCATTGGACTTTCACTATGCCGCCTATGTCTGAAAGCATGGTTAATCAATTCCTTGCAACCCCATCCCGGTACCGCGACTGCCTACCTCACACTCTCCCACGACGACGCATCTAAGCATGCACGACTTTGGAGTCGAGCCTTTGGAGGATCGACGATGTGATGTCGAATGGCGTCCGGCGCTGCCATGCAGAGCGCTGAAGCCTTCACTCACGCGTCTTGTCAACGGCGAAGGACCCTTTTTCTTGGGTTTTGTCGATCGTTCCTAATCCTTCTTGGGTCTGCCAAGCTGTCAGCACACGATCGCGCAGCGTCTGGAGAGCCGGTGCCTCTGACTCGGTATTGTACAGTAAGTCTGACTGTGCGTTCGAGATGAGAGATACTTGGTCCCGCTCATCTCCGCAGCTACTGCTATGCATAAGATACCAGGGTCCTGCTCGTATCCGATAGCAATTGACACAGTTTGCGCAATTAGACGGATGGAGGGGTGTGAATTTAGCATTTCATGGTCGCGTACAGTGTGATTCGCCACGCTCGCACCAGCGCCCCCGTCGCCAGCACCACCCCCCTTCTGAGAGAGTGCGCCGCTGCTGTTCTCCCCCTTCTCCCATAACCATCCGCTTCCCCCGAACTGCTATTCCAAAACACTTTCGAGACGGTCTACGACTCCACCACGAGCAACGTCAGCCAGATCTGGCCAGCACGAGTTCGACAAAGCGCAATAGAATACAGGGCACCACCTTACCGTCTACGGCGACTCGTCAGGCCCCCTCGAAATAGCGTTCAGTCGCTTTTCTTCCCCCGGCCTCCCTTTTTCGCCCTTTCTCCCCCCCAAATTCTTCCGTCCTCCCATTAATCTCTCGGCGCCCAGCCTGCGATCCCTCCCACATCCCCCACCCGCAAGCCTTCTTGGAACCTATTCTCCGTTGTGGCCACTGACGATTTCTAACTCGACCCGGTTTATTGACCATTCCACTGACTGTGACCTTTTGTCGCTATTCTGTTCATCATTGGAGCGTCTTGGAAAATCGATGTTTCTTCCGCCGAACCACACGTCGGTTCTCTAACGACTTTGTACGCGAAACTGGAAACCGCCCGGACTCGTGTCCCTCGACTCTCGCTGCAGCCATCCGCCCGACCGAGCCCCCGAATCTGCGTCCCCCGACGCCCACGACAACAAACCCGACACCACCGTCAATCGACACTGCGAAACCACCGACGACTGCGACGTCTATTCGATGGCGAGTGTTCACGAATAGGAGGAAGCCTCTTCTGATCCTCACCTGCGGCTGGCCGCTCTGTTCCTCATCGACAAAAACCTCGACGAGTAGGCGCCGCGACCATGGTGGAAGCAAGCCCTCTCCCCTCTCTCGGGGCTGCTGGGGCCGCCGCTGCGAAGTTCGTGACCGCCGCACCCATCATCATTGCGAATAATGGCGTCAACTACGAAGAAACCGCGACCGGAGGCGCGGTACAATACAACGACCTGCGCGACCCTTTCTATGCCTCCATTTTCCCCGTCTGCTATGCACTCGCCGCGACGACCGTGACCGCATACATGCTCGTCATCATGCTCTTCATCACGCCTCGGTCTTTTCTCGACGGTGGAGTCGTGTACCTAGGCCGACGCGGGTTCACCAGTGGTGGGACGTCGAACGGAATCAGCATCGGAGGACGACCATGGCTGCAGAAAGTGGCCGCAGTAACCGTTGCGATTTCTCTTACAATAGCCAGCGCCGACACGTTTAAAGTGGCGGAGCAACAGTACCAATGGGCAATCCAGGACGCCAAAAAGATGCAGTCGGAGGTTATGGACGGCACCGAACTGAAGGTCATTCGCCTGATTTCCGATACGTTCTTGTGGCTGGCGCAAGCCCAAACTCTCATCCGCCTCTTCCCGCGCCAGCGGGAAAAGGTTATTATCAAGTGGACTGCATTCGCTTTGATCACGCTGAACCTCATCTTCAGCGCCCTCAACAGCTTTCAGTACCCCACTAGCGGAAGCAACGGTAACGCCCGTCCTCGAAGCTTCGTCGACGCCGTCCCCGCTCTCAGCTACCTATTTCAACTCTCCCTTGGCCTCTTATACGCCGCTTGGGTTATCTACTACTCGCTCATGAAGAAGCGATACGCGTTCTATCACCCGTTGATGAAGAACATGGTTTTGGTTTCCACCCTCTCCCTCTTCGCCATCCTCGTCCCGGTCTTTTTCTTCGTGCTGGATATGGCACAGCCGGAATTCACCGGATGGGGAGACTACGTCCGCTGGGTTGGTGCCGCAGCTGCCAGTGTGGTTGTTTGGGAATGGGTGGAGAGGATCGAAGCGTTGGAGAGAGAAGAGAAGAAGGACGGCATTCTCGGACGCGAAATCTTTGACGGAGACGAGATGCTGGAAGTATCCGCCTCGGAGTTCCCGTGGCTCAGGAGAAGGAAGAACAGGAACGGTGGCCGAGACGGAGGCGATGGCGGCCAAGACGGCCCTCAAGGTGGTGCCGGCGCTCAAGGTCCTCCTGCTAGTGGCAGAGCCAACCTCTGGCCCGGCATGACACAAATCGCCTCCAGGTACCGCGGCAACCACGCCCACGCCAACGCCAACGCCGAACCGAACAACGCCCAGAACGGCCAAAGATCCATGGGTGGCCTATTACGTCCGCCGGTGTGGCCCTCCCGACCCGCTCCGGCAGTGACTCCCGTGAGCCGAACCGATACGGCAAGCGCGGCGAGCACCGTATATGCCGTGAGATATCAACTGCCATCGGAAACAACCTCGCGGACGCCGGAAGCGGCTCCTCCCCAGGTCGTTGCCCAGACTCAACGCAATGGAGCAGTTGCCATGTCCAGAAGCAACTCGACATCTTCGAGGAGCGAGTCGACGGCTAGCGACGATGAGCCCTCGATGGCGGCTCCCGTCCCTAGACAAGCAACCCACAAGGCTGTTGAAATCGACACCGAGGCACAGGAAGACATTACTGCGAGGGGCAGGAACGGATGGAGATCACTCGTTGCCAACCCTCTCTTCCGGCGGACTGCTCGCGACCCCCCCGCCGAGGTGATGGCTCACGCCGAGTCCAAGCCGGAGGTTCGTGGTGGTCACGATGATACTGGAAGATGGGATCTCCGGGCCCGCCTGGAAGACTTCGCCGCGACACAAGCCGAGAAGATCAGAGAAAAGATGCGCCCAACCCCCGAGACAGACAGTCTACCAGTCACCGTGATCCCCGCACCGCCGAGGCAAGGAGCAGCACTGGCCGAGCTGCTGGAAGAGGAGAGAGGTCAAGAACCCCCCGAGCGTGCGGCGCTCGAAAGAACCACGAGCGACGCCTCTGCGCTCTCTCCCCACCCTGCCGGCGCGCTCGGCAGGACAACCAGCAACTTCTCTTACCAGTCTCGTGTCGCGAACCAGCCAGAGTCGGCCACTCTTCAGCTGAGCAGACCGCCCCTCTGGCCCGGTGTACGACCTCAACACCAGGAGTACGAGCCTCCTTCGCCCAGCCCGCCCTCCAATGGCCGGGGACTCGGGGACGACATGGGCCCGCCGCCTACTCCCTGAACAAGTCTTCTGCGGTTGAACGGGTTTCTTTATATATAAAAATAGCGCGGCGCTGTGGGCCTTTTTTCTTCTCTCTACATCTTCTGCATCGCGAGCAAGCATGACGGCGCATCATCAAGGGGGGAAAACGGGACGGCTCCGGCACGAGCCTCGGTTGTGTTTTGCTGTGGAATTTTTCTATTCTTTTTCGTCATCATTATAGTATGTACATTGTGGATGGGGCGAGATGTATATGGGCGGCGATGCCTCCACCAGACATGGGGCAAACCAAAAAATCTTATGGGGGTAATGAGAAGGGACCAACGTATAGTGGCGCCCATGTATATGCGCGGAACGAGGGGGGGAACAACAGCCTAGCCGGCGACGCAGGCTTATATGGGCGTTTGAACGGCTTTGATTTCGATGAGGAGGCAGCGGTCACGAGATGACCGGGTACGGAGCGGGAGAGGAAAGCAAGCCGACGCGCCAGGATACGGGAAGGCCTCATGTGGGTGAGAACAGCAAAGGCGGGGAGAGAGAGACTGGTCAGAGTTGATCGGCTCGAGGAGATACCAAGACGCTGTTAAGTTAGAAAGGGGATGGACATGAGGTGGTGAGAGGAAGATGAAAGCGATAGCCGCGCCAATGAATTCAAATCAGTCAACTTTTCAACTACATTGCCTTGCTTCGATACTGGAGTGGTTCCGGCTTCAATCCGCCTGCCTGCTTCGGTGCCTGGACCACTACGTATGCGTGGACTTGGATCCTGTGAGATATCGCTACGGGGTACTGCCTGGCCAAGGTATTGTGGTGTTCGGCCGGCGTTGCTAGACATGCGCGCGGTTGGCTCCCCATTGAGGAGCCCTTGCGATACTAGACTAGCTCGAACCCACCCTCCCCTCTCAACCGAGAGGATGAAGCCGCAGGTCGCCAGCAGGACATCCAGTAGCCGGCCAGCCGGGACGGGGTCTGGCACGCAGGGTTGTGTCAACTAACCGCGTTCCAATCGTTGCTGGTCCCCAATCATTGCGAGGCGAAGCATTGGGACCATCTGGCTAGCGAGACACGTTTGATCGAGGGACTACTCGGACTCGAAAACTCATTCACAGTTCACGGCACTAGTCGTTGAGGCTCGGCAACATCTCAGAAGGAAAAAAAGAACAAAAGGGCGGAGCCGGAGGAACCATGGCGATGAGAGAGTCTGGACCGACTTGGATTTGCCCGCAAGTGGGTTGGCAGAGGAATGTCTGTTCGAACCCTCGAGGCTGTGGTCTGGTTCACCGGTAATGGATTCTAGATTAGTCGGGATAGGATGGTTGGGCCGCAAAGTGCGTTCAAGGACGAGGCGAAGCAAAGTCTACAAAGGGGGGGGGGCGCTTGAGCGAGCCCAAAACTTACCCAGAACTGTACACGGTTCTTTGTCAGGCCAAAGCTAGCTCGAGAGATCCGACGTGTAGCAAGTGGCAGCCAACACAGAAAGCGTTCCAGCGGTATCGAACAGAAGCGTTCCCGCGCCATGCGAGCTTGGCGCTTGGCGACGCGTCGCTTTTCGTAAATCTGTGGAGGAATCCGTCTGCTGGGGCGCAGAATGGTTGTCAAGTCATGGGAACCCCGAGAGCGCCGTTCTTCGCGTGAGTAGAGTGGCTGACCGATTGGAGCTCAGCACGGCGGCGGCGGAGGAGGAAAAAGAAACTGCACGCGGGCGGTAGCCGAGATTCGAGAGCCGCATGACGCCGTACAACACGCACCGAGTCACCGCGAGTGATCAGTAATGAGACGCCCGGCCATGGCGGACGTGAGCAGAACGGCGCCTGTGATTGAACCGGGAATGACGGCAGCGTAGGAGCGGGCCCCAAATCTTCAGTGATGACAGTTGCAGGAGGAGGCTACCGGCACTCGGGAAGGGAGAGCTAAAGTGGCGGCTCATGGAGGGAATGGTTGGCGTGCGAGGGATGGCGGGCGGGCACGCGGGGCGCACTACCTTAGCTTCCCGGCTCACCCAGGCTGGGTTGATTGGTGGTGGGGCAGGGATCTAAGGTCTGAGAGAAAGGGTCGGGTCTATACTGTTTGCCGTCAAAGCGACCAACGTGGGCGAAACGGCGTTGATCGGCGTTGATTCCTCCTTCCGTCACTGCGTCGATGGCGGCCCGCCCTAGTAGTGATACCGTAGTTGCAGCAAGTAGACAAGATGGCAGTACCAACATCCAGGCCAAAAAAATTATCCGACGCGAGAAGGGCGAAGCATGGGCGAGGATGGAGCTGATGATGTAATTGGGGCTGTCAAGCATGTGCAGGCTCGCGTGATGGATGTCGGTCGACAATGGGTTCTCGTGGACGAAGAGACTGACGCATGATAGCATGCAATCTACCGTCGGGCTCAAATTCGGCAGAAGACACCAGTTTGCGAAGACATCGCCGGTGCCTTGTTGGTAAGATGGGGGGCATTTGACAATGCAAAGGCAGAATGGGGCGCGACCCGAACTTGGTCGGAAATTGCCGTTGTCCTGCTTGTCCCCTCTCCTCGTCATCGTCCGGCTGTTCGAGAACCGTGCAAGAGAAGAGAGCTGGTACATACAATAACAAATGGTGGAGCTATGATGCCTGCATGCCTTATCAGAGGAAGGGATATTGGGAACTGGTCCCAAATATCCCGTTCGAGCCAATAGCAGTTCCATCGGTAGGATGCATGGCTTCTGGGAATCCTCCATTGTTGAGTTCCGCATAGTCATCGAAGCCCCAGTAGCACGCCTGCCTCTCTCGAGTGAGGCTTGTTACAGTGGAACTAGCCGACAGCCCTGTCCTTTTCTTTTGACAAAGAAGCCCCGTGTCGTGGCTTGTTTCTGCCCCTCTTTGTCCTCGTTATCGACGTCGATGTACGGCACCAGAGCCTTTCAGAGGTGCACATGCGGGTCCTGATTCTGATCTCGATCGCGGGGTCGACTTGACCGACTCATTCGCGAAGCTGCCAGCTCAGCTTCGGTGCATCCAGTTTCAAGGCGACACGCAATTGAGCTTTTTGAAAACCCCAGCACGAGCCGGGGACACCTCTGCTCGCGTGTCGACGAGATGCCGACGAACGGGGGATAGGCCTACTTGGCCATGCCATGCTGCCCATCGCGAAGGGGTGGCCCTGGTTTTGTTGTTGATGTCGTGGCAAAATTCCTGCTTGAAGTGCGGTTGGCAAAGGTGGAGAGAGGGTGCTGGTGAGGACGGCACATGATAAACCACCAAGCGGGAGGTACCATGCAACGTCGGCGTGTGTGTGTGTGTGTGTGTGCGTGTGCTGCATGGCATAACAGCGCAGCCAAGATGCCCACGCAGTGACAGTGCAGGTCTCCTGCAGCGGGGACATCCAATGCAAGATGAGGTAAGGTTGCCTGGGCCTGGAACGAAAAGCAGGGGGTGATCACGGGTACGATGGGGCGCCCCAAGCAGCCCCTGGCAGAGAACCAGTGCTAGCCCATTGTTGGCTCCCCAGGTCCTCTGTTTAGCCGATCTGATTGGCCAACGGCTCTACTCCTTGGCATGGGGTTTTTTTTCTTCTAATTCCCTTCTCACGATCTTCTACACACACGTGCACTGCTCATGTTTGATTTCCTCCAGTCTGGCTTTATCTCATGATTCGCGACAGGCGTGCGCTCGTTTGCTCCGTTCTGTTTTCCTCTTCTCCCCGTGTCTGATCCATTGTGTTTGGACTGATCCCCCCGCTCCAGTCCTCTCCCTCCTTTCCCTCTGCTGCTGCTCTTTGACCGCATTGCGGTTGCAAAAGGAAACCAGACGACTAGTCTCTCGGTCAGACGAATGCACACGACGAAACACAGAAGACTCAGGGAACAACCTTGAGCTCGTCCTCGAGTTTGACCCATCAGCGGTGCGCTCGCGCTTGCACTTTGCCAGCTCCTCCTGCTCCACTGGCCCGCCGACCGCGTTCGCCTGTCTTTTTCCTTCCCAGACTTCCATGATCGACAACGGGCCCCCCCTGGACTTCTCGACGTCTAATAAATCGATCCCTCCTTTTCAACCCACGACTTCCTTGCCCGGCTTCCCATCTCCGCACCCGCAGACAGCTTCCAAAGTCAAAGTCGCCGTCTCTCTGCACCCGTCTGCCTGCTGCCCTCTTACCTCATTGTGCCTTCATCCCGACACACTTCCTCCGAAGCCGATCTCCTTTAAACGACCCGAGACGCCTGCAGCAGCAAGCCTCTGCCACCATGGCCGACTCCGAACCATTTCCTCTCCTCAATACCTCCGTCGACCAATTGCACTCCGTCGTTGACTACTCCCCAAGCGCATCTCGAACAACAACGACAACGAGACGACGAAAGTCAAGCGCACTAGGCCAAGACATCCGTGCCGGCGACACTGGTCCTGCGCTCGCAACTTACGGCGCCATCGACGGCCCCGTCACACCTGTAATGACCCCTCCCGTCTCTCCTCTCTGCACGTCACCGAGCCTTGTTCCCAGAGACCAAGCCTACAATCTCTGTGACTGCCCATCTGGCATTAGCTGACCTTTTGCCGCTCACTTGCAGACCACACCTACCAAACGCCTCTCAAAGCGCCGGCGTGCTCGCGGCGGCTTCTCTCGCGTTCGTCAGGCCATGACTAGACACACGTACCTCCTGCCCGCCCTCATCGTCGCCATTACCGCCGGCCTCTATGCCGTAAACCCCAACGATTCGAATCCGGTTCATCGCTTTATATTCCTCTCGTACCGCTTGCCGCCCGACTCCGCCAGCCCTGGCGCCCCCGCCCAATATGGCAAGGGTCTCTGGGACATCGCTTTCGTGTCTTTCTACACGGTCGTCCTAACCTTTACTCGCGAATTTATCATGCAGGAGCTCTTGCGACCTCTGGCTCGCGCCGCTGGTATCCGATCCCGGGGAAAGCAGGCTCGCTTCATGGAGCAGATGTACACTGCCATCTACTTTGGCTGTCTTGGTCCCGCCGGCTTATACGTAATGAGCAAGACGCCCGTCTGGTACTATAACACGCGTGGCATGTACGAGGACTTTCCGCACCTGACACATGAGGCCGGGTTCAAATTCTACTACCTCTTCCAGGCTGCGTACTGGGCTCAACAAGCAATCGTCTTGCTGTTGGGTATGGAGAAGCCCCGCAAGGACTTTAAGGAGCTCGTTGGTCACCACATTGTCAGTCTTTCCTTGATCGGCCTCAGCTACCGCTTCCACTTTACCTACATGGGGCTGGCTGTTTACTCGACACATGACATCAGTGATTTCTTCCTTGCAGTAAGTACATGTTGCCCTCCCATAACACCAGCACAATGGAGGAACATATCATCCAAGGAATGGGCAGAGCGCTGACAGTTTTGATAGACGTCAAAGGTGCTGAACTACATCGATTCTCCGATTGTGGGACCTTACTTCTTCTTCTTCATGTGTGTCTGGATTTACCTACGTCATTTTATCAACCTGAAGATCATCCTCTCCCTCTTCACTGAGTATACCACTGTCGGGCCGTTTGAGTTGAACTGGGCCACTCAACAGTACAAGTGCACGCTCTCGCAGTATATCACCCTCGGCCTTCTTGCGTCCCTTCAAGCCTTGAATCTTTTCTGGTTGTTCTACATCTTCCGCATCGCGTACCGCTTCCTTCGCTACGACATTGCTGAAGACGACCGCAGTGATGCCGAAGCCACCGATGTCGATGACGAAACCGAGAAGAAGAAGAAGGCCTTGGCCGATGAGAAGAGCAATGGCCACGCTACTGGAGCGAGCGGTAGTGCGTCAAGAGCAAGGCCTGTCAATGGTCATACGAGATAGAAGCTGACGACTGGAATTCCCAACCGGACGAATCGAGACGAAGCATGATATCGGTGTTCCTGAAGTTCACGAAGACATTCGCTTGCACATTAGTGCAATTGCAGCTTAAGGCTATACACAGCTATCTAGAAAGAGGGGGATCGCGGCACATCAAGAGATAATCATTTGTCGCAGTGGAGATTTCAAATTTCCTGTTCACGAACAAGCAGAGTGGCTTGGCGACCGCCGAAACATGCGCAAAACATTCAAATCACGACACGCGAACAGGAATAAGTCACCCTGCCGCACTGACTTGGTCAACGTACACCAAAAGACAACGGTCATGAGCTACGGATACTAGCAAGTCGGCGATCGCCAAAGAACGCTCAATGGGCCCCGCTGAGTCTCCAAGAGGAAGCAAAACGGCAAGTTGACGAAAGGCACCGCATCAGGTGTTAGCCATCATTGTCCGGCTACTGGCGGGTTTGCGGAGACAAGCAATTCGCATCATCTGCTTGGTTGTGCGGCACGCCGGTGGCTGAGAGACAGAGCCCCAAGGACAAGGCGTCAGTGGCGGCGGTGGTGGTGGAGGGGTGAGCGTGAGAGTGCGGAAGTGGCCGAAGTGAGACAGGTGTGTTTCCGTAAACGATGACGGCGCACCCTCCCGCACGACTGGTTAACCTCCCCCCTCCACACTTTGTGCAAGGTCCTGCGCCCGCTCAGCTCGTATAATTCTCACGTCTACAATATCTAAGTCCAGATCTCACATAACCCAACCTCATGATCCCTTTGGGGAGTATCTTGGCAATGCGGAAGAAGAGGGCGGTGGAATGGTGGTAACGTCAGATCGAGGCGTTGGCTATCTGAGGCCCCCTCAGCCGCATCGCTGACATCTGATGGGTTGGATGTGGGCGTGCAAGTAGAGGCAGATCAAGATGGGTGGAGAAAGAGTCAGGCGCGTTCTCACCTAAGATTTTTGGTTTTGATTTTTTTTCTTCCCCAATCCGGAACGGCCACGCTCCCACCCGAGCCCAGCATGTCCAGAATGGACGGTCGTTAGAACTTCATTGACAGCTCTAGTGTACATCAAACGGCGATGTCCAACAAACTATTCATTAATGAGAAGATTTGAGCAGCGGTCCTTGCTCTTCCACACGCAGACACATGCACATTGTCGAGTATACACATGGTGAACTTGGTCTTAAGTGGTGTTGCCATGAGGACGCGGGTTGGGGGTACGAGAACGAGGCATCTCACAACACGTTGCACGCCAAACACACAGAGTGACACGAACTACTTTGGAGTGTCTTTTAGCATTGAGCAAATCGGATCCCTGGCGCCGCAAGGCCTTCTTGCGCGCGGGATCACTACCGTCTATGGACCTTGAACCTTTAGTTGCCGCAAAGCTATCGTATGTAGCCGCCGGCCCAGTAACACAACTGAAAGGAGAAGAGAGGGCTGACATGAAAAAGTCTGCCTGTCCGCCCCTGTACGGTGTCCAGATAAAAAGAAAAGCAAGGCAGACCTTCTGATGGTTCCTCCACAAACAGGATATTTCATCATCCGTCTGCACCCACTACGTATATTAAATGGGATTATCTCAAGAGCCAATATCCATCGAAAATGCAAGTCCGCCGCTACCCGGCTGTTCCTCCCTCCCGAATGACCTTCCGAAACCCAACCCTTCCAACCGTCCAGGCCAATCGGGGCCCAGACAAGTGATTTTCGAGCCTTGCCGAACCTAAGGAATCTGGTATCTGGAATGCAATGTCGAAAACGCTACCCATGGTAGCAGGTGCCGATCTGTAATCGAAAGCGAGTCTTGCTATTGAAAGAGCCCATGATTAAAGGAGAACCCGTATTCCTCCTGTCTGATGATGATGATAATGATGAAAATGAAAATGCCCTGTCCTTTTGATAAAGAGACCAGTCGCATCCAGTTGTCACACACAGGTTTCAAAGTGAAGGCTGGGTGAGTTGCAGCCATGGGAGTAGAAAGAGCGTGTGTGTCTGGTGGCGACAATCAAGAAAAGATGTCCTCTACTGACCAACCGACCGAGCCAGATCCAGAGACCGACTCTCGGGGTTTCGTTTTTGTTGTACTCGTGAAAGTCCTTTATGTTTTCAGGGTCCCCAAAGCCAAAGGGTAAAGAAAAAGTGTAAGTGTGTGCGTGTAAACTCCAAACTCCGAGTCGCCGGTTTGATGCAATCTTAAGCCGTTAATCCGTTGTACCTGGGTCGTGAAAGGCGCGTGCCTCGTTGTATTCGTAAAGGAAAATGTGCCGCTCTGCTATGAAAAGCCGCGGATTAGGGTGTAGTAAAGCTGGTGTTTGCGTTTGATGGGCAGTTGTTGTGATCGGTACACGAGCATTGGCTGTGTACCTAGCACCCACCCATGCTGGACGTATCCAGGGAATACGCCCTTTGGACAATTAGTGTCGACCAGAATGACCAGAACGATCAGAGTGTCTAGAATGTTCAGAATGATCCGAGTCGTTGTGACCACTGTGGATAGAATCTGCATCGGAGCTGCTGGAAGAGCTGGAAGAATCCTCTCCCGTGGTGTTGGCCTTGGAGTTGTTCCCTGAGCTGCCGGGCAGAATCGTGGACGAATCAAGGCTAGTGTAGCCGTCCGAATGTCCGTCCGTCTGCTTCTTGGAGACAATGTTCGCCTTTCTAAGGAGTTTCTGTGCCTTCCTACTTGCAGCGCGGGCCTTTTCGGCGGCGCGTTCTGCCTGCACTTGCCTCTCCCACATTGAGGCATACCGTCCATTAGCAGCTACCAGTTGGTCATGCGTGCCCTTCTCGGCGATAGTACCGTTGTTGAGGACGATGATTTGGTCGGCATGCGTAATAGTAGACAACCGATGTCTAAATCCCGTGTTAGTATTGCGGCCTTGAGGATGAACTATACAGAACGGTGAGAATACGTACGCAATGATTAGCAGAGTCCGGCCCTGGCCAAGATGCCCGAGTCTGTCCTGGATCTGCTGCTCGGTATGCGCATCAAGGGCTGATGTGGCCTCGTCGAGCATGATGATCTTAGGGTTCTTGAGAATCGTCCGCGCAATCGCGACTCGCTGTCTCTCGCCACCGCTGAGCTTGAGGCCACGCTCGCCAACCTTCGTGTTGTACTGCTCTGGGAAAGACATGATACGATCGTGGATGCTGGCAGCTCGGCAAGCTTCAAATACTTCCTCGTCGGTGGCAGCTTGGTTGGCATATCTGAGGTTGTACATCAGGGTGTCGTTGAACATGGTGGTATCCTGAGGAACAACGCCAATGAAACGTCTGACCGAATCAATAGTAAGGTCCTTGACGTCCTGCCCGTCAACCTCGATGCTGCCGGAAGACGTGTTGTAGTACCGAAACATGAGGCGGAAGACAGTCGACTTGCCGCCGCCGGATTCGCCCACGAACGCGGTTGTGGTGCCAGGCTTGCACTCAAAGTCGAGGTCCTTGAGAGCCTTGTTCTTCGGATCGTAGTTGAAGGCAACCTTGTTCCATCGAATGTTGCCATTGCATTCCAACAAGGGCCGGGCTCCTGGCGCGTCGATCACTGTAGGCTTGACCTTGAACAGCTCCAAAAGGCGCTCGCCAGAGATCATTGCCTGTTGAATGGTCCGATAGAAGGACCCGAAAATGTTCAGGGGCGTCTGCAGCTGATTGAGAAACGTCATGAGAGTCAGGAACCTGCCTACATCCATGCCGCCACTTGTCACCTGATAGGCGCCAAAAACCATGACCACGCTGAATCCGAGCATGAAGACGCAGGCCTGGATAACGTTCATCCGGTTCACGCCCCAGGTGACTTGCTTTTCGGCGTCCTGATAGGCTTGGATGGCGTTCCGATAGCGCTGGAATTCCCATTCCTCGGCGTTGAAGTATTTAACCGTCTCATAGCTAGTGATCGAGTCGTTCTTCACCGCTTCTTCCTCTCTGTCGGCATTGCTCATGATTCTTCGCTGGTCTGCTCTGGTTTGCGCCATGCGGATGGTCAGGAAGAGATACCAGAATGTTAAACAGCTGACGATAGCTCCGTAGGTTGCGTCAAAGTAGTAGCAAAAGAAGCCGACAGCCAAGAAAAGATCGAAAATCATGGGGAGGACCGAGAACGTCGCCTGCTCGAGAAAAGAGTTGATTGACGCGCCTTTGTTCAAGGCAGAAAGCACCTCCCCGGTTCGCTTCCCAAGGTGGAAATCCAGGCTGAGGGAGTGGACGTGTTCAAAGGCTGCTGATGTTAAAGCCCTATATGAGTTCTGCGAGATCGGCACCCATAGGATGGCACGGAACGCATCCAGAAGCATGCCTGTCCCTTGCATCAGTCGGAGAAAAATGAGCAGACCCAGAACAGTCCATGGGGCTTGTTGGAGGGTCAGCTGCCTGGTCAGCCATCCAACAACCACCGGGACAAGGACGTTGACAGCACGCTGTCCAAGCAACAGGACCACGCAGATGCCGAAGAGAAATTGCAAGTGCGGCGAACCCTTGGGCCACTGGTACTCAAAGAAGACCTGGTAACTCCGGACGTACTCCCACCAGCTTTTGTGAGGCGCTGTGTCGGGTCGATAGAAGCCGGGTTCTTTGTAGTCCTTGGATACGGGGGTGCCCTCGGCTGCGCCATTAGTGTTGCCGACAGTGCTCCCGTTTCGCGAAGTTCGAACTGATCGTCCGTTTTGACTGCTGTACGACATCCGGTGGCCGTTAGCGCCGTTGAGCAGAGGTGTCGTCTCCTCTGCACGCTGGCTTGAGTTCTGCTCCTCGAATTTGTCTTCCTTCTGCTGGGGTCTCCGGAACCAAGCTGCGACGTAAATTCCAACGAGGCCCATCAGCAGGACGATGCGGATGACGCCCAGGATGATATCCGTCAAGGCCCACTTGGAGATCTGCGTTCGTGGTGACTGGACCTGTGATGCCTTTGCGTTGCTGGAGTCCGTGACCTGTAGAATAGTGCAGATGCAGATGATCAGCTCACCGATAAGAGCGAGGCACCATGTGATGAAGTGAGCGATGGTCGGAGCTTCGTGCCATTCGATCAGCGTGGTGACGAGGTAAAGGTACAGGTTTGGCGACGCAATCAGGTAAACCTGCTTCTTGTTAGCAAAACTTCCGGGGTGGGAGGGCGCTGAACCTTGCGTACGATCATGGACTGCGAATCCTTGGCGCCCTGGACGACGCCCTCCAGCTCCTGCATGACATAGCTGAAGTGAGCAATGCCATTGGAGACGAAGGTGAGGAACACGGCGGCGGAGATCCATGTGAGCCATGTCCTGGATGTTGGGGACACAACAGGTCCGTATCGTAGACGTTCGGGCTCGATGTCGCCACGGCGCTTTTTCTTCTTCGACACAGGCAGCCTTTTCCCGCCTGGGCCCAGCGCCTCCGCGCCAGTCTCGTCGTCTTCTTCTTTAGGCGCCGTCACGATGCTGTAGGTTGCGGCCGAGGTAACGAACACCACTAGCAACACCAGCGGGTAGTAACACAATGTCTCGTCGAGTAGAAAGCAGTAGAATGGGTCGTTTTCGCTGCAAGTCAGGTTGGCTTTCAGACTTGTGCTGTTGTCGAGCCGCATCGGCAGCGGCGGCCTCTCGACACCGGCCATGGTGTGTGGACTGTGAAGAGGAAGGGAATTAGATGTCAGGGACTACAACAACAGCAACAACAAGAGGAGGAAGCGAAAGCAACCCCCCTGCGCGGGAGAGGGAAAGAAGGAAGGAAAGAAAGAAAGGGAAAGAACAAGGGAGACTTACAATTCGTGATCCGGGGGGAGTAGGATATTGATTTCACACCATTGCCAGATATGCCACTTGCGCGTCGTGTACGCAGGTCGGCGTGGTTTCCCGTGGCGAGATGGAGGCCCGGTACCTCTGTACGTTGCAAGGGAAGTGGGAGTCCACAAGAGCGACGCAGAGACACGAGATCTCGTTTCGGGACCAAGATGTTGGAGCAAGGCACAAGCGACTGGAGACGCGAGAGGCCTGGCAGGCGATTACCCGCCCGTCTAAAAGGTTCTGGGTCTTGCTCTTGGGTGCAGGTGGTACGGGGGGGAGGTAGGGGTCGAGAGCGCTGAGACCGGGGGGTGTCGTGCAAAGCGTGCGTTCCCAAAGGCTCGTGGTGCTGGGGGTGCAGGTCGAACCCACAGGACCACAGGGCGGTACAGAGAGGCCCTGTTCAGTTGGAGTAGTGGTGGGGTCGGCTGACTTGCTCAGTGGCGAAAAGCCACTCTGAAGTTCCTGGTAGTCGAGTCAAGACTTGTCAGATACTCGGCGGCCGAGGACCGGTGGGGCGGGATTTTCTGGCGAGGTGGGCTTGAATGCAAAGCGGACGCAGGCTGTGCCCGACTTTGAGAGGCAAGAAAGGCGCGGCCCCTTGCCCTTGGAAGCCGAGGGGAGTTGAGCCGGTGGAAGCTGAATGCTGGATACCTTTGGCGAGTGGACTCGAACTGGGTTCGCCGCAAGAGAGCGAGTGAGACTTTGGACGGAGGGAACCAAGGAACAGAAAGCTTGTGACCGGGAAAGAGGAGCGAGAGGCCTCGGGTTGGGAAGAATGGGGGCGTGACGCTGAAGAGGTATCCGCCAAGTATTTCGCAAGGCGAGGTACGCAGTATCCGTAGACAACGGGAGACGGCAACCACTAAGGTAGCTACGTGCTGTTTCTGCCGACAGCCGGGGTTAGTGCCGGGTTTTCCCTCTGTTTGTCTTCCTCTTTGCCTCTGGAACGAGTGACGGCGGAACCTCTCAAACGGGGAGAGTGTGGTGAGAGATGGTTCAAAAGGGAAGGGGAGGAAAAAGAAGAAAAGGAAAAGAGAGGGAAAAAGCCCCCCCGGCAAGTCTCGAGGTACTGTACGTAGGGAAAGACAAAGAGTAGCAGCCAAACGGAATGAAAGAAGATCAAAAAAAAGGTTGGGATGGTGACGATGGTGATTATTGGAGGGAAGGAAGAAGGGGTGTGGTGGTGGTGGGTAGGAGGGATGATGGCAGGAAAGAGCCTGAAAGCAGGTACCAAGTACAGCACCAGCTGCACTCCTGCCACACATCGAGGTCGAGGCAGGCACAGATCGCTCAAAGGAGTAAGTGCGATCCAGGCCGACTGCCACAAGCAGCTGTACTAGTAGCGTGTGCAGCGCAGCAGTAGGTAGGCGAGTTGGTTTGTGTAAGGCAATGCAGGGCAAGGAGGGAAGGAAGGTTGGGCGAGGTACTACTGTACTGGACTGTACACCATAGGTAGTATCCGTGGTGAAGGCAGGTATGGGTATGGGTATGGGTATGGGATGGGACGGGGCCGCGAGGTGGGACGCATTACTTAGTACACGGCAAATGGGGCGACTTACTTGTTGGAGTGCCGCATATGTCAGTGGCAGGATTGTTTGGGTCGTTCCGTTTGCTACTAATAGGCAACAGACGTGAAGCCTGTGATGGGAGCAGCCACAGACACGAGCACGCAGAGTATCGCGCCTGTAGTGCAGTTGTAGCGGGCAGTAGTCGACGAGCGGTGGCCGGCGCGGTACCTTTTAGCTGCGAGCGAAGACACCGAGTGGCTGGTCGGTCTTGACCCGTTGCCCATGCACCTTAGCAGCCAGCAAGCTTGGATGGGTTCTTTTTTTTCACAAGATGAAGGGAAGTGCTGGCCAGATAGTTCAGGTGAGCGGAAGAAACAAATGAGAATCCGGCATCCACCCTCGAGAGTGAATGTGGGGATCTGTCCGGCTTGTTTGTGTGAGGAGTGGAGCAATGGCTGGGGGCCGTTGCTGGTGTTCGCCGATAATGTCGAGGTTGGAGTTGCCGCCTCTGTTGTCGTTGACGATGCTGGTGGTGATGATGATGATGGCGGCGATAATGAGCGATTGCCATGGGATTGCGGACGATGGATGGGGAGCTGGCGGCGAGGTACCTGTTGTGTTGGAGGTGGGCAAGGTGGGCAGGACAGGATACGGCAAGGTGAGCGCCGAGGTACCCCCTCAGTGTCTAAGATGGGTGTAAGTCGATGTAAACGGAACAGGAGCTGCAGCTTCTGGGCCGAGAGTGTCAAGGAGGGTCTGGACTCGTTTGATGTATGGAAACAGCTATTCGCCAAGGGTCCTGCTGTGTGCCCTGGTTAGTGCCGGGGCTACTCATGCATATGATACTCGGAGTGGTGGTGCTAAACGTAGCGAGAGCACGGAACATGGGGATGGAGCCGTGAGATGGGGTTGCGAACGGGGGATGGAGATGAATTAGGCCCCCAAAATGGGAACCAAGTCCAGAGGAGGAAAAAAAGAAAGCAAGGGGAAAAGAAGAAAGGCATACTCCGGCCGAACACCACCTCCCTTGGACACCTTGTGCGGGAAGCAAAAGAGAAGCTTAAATGTGGAGAGTGATTGACAAGCTATAACTAAAAAATAAATGAGAAAAAGAGCAAATTAGAGAGGAGAATAAATCCAATGAAAAGAACACACAGCCCACGGCCTAGCGGCGATGCTAATATGTAGATCGGGGAGTTCAGTGACAGGCGCGGACGAATATGGCAGTTGATGGATGATGCCTGTGAACACAGCCAAGGCAGGCCCGGGCGGTGGTGACAGGCCGTTCAGTCCGATATGCTCGTGTGGATACATCGTATGCAAGATATCCGTGATGTCTTGTATGCTGATGAGTGTTGCAGACGGCAGTCAGGTGCTTTCAGTGGCCTTCGACCGTCCATGTCACCAACCACTGTGGTTCCAGTGACCAGAATAGCGCATCTCATCTCCTTCATACCCTTCTGTCACAGCCAGAGCGGAGCGGGGCGGGGGTGAAGATTACATGTTGGGATGAGGGACGAGGAACGAGGGATGAGGGATCTGAGTCCCGAGACCACACACACACACACACACACCACACACCTTTTACCTTAGCTCTTGGGTTCAAAGGTGTTTAGCTGCTTGCGCAGAGCGAACACCCGACCTAAGGCTGCGTCGTTGAGTTTTCACAAAGGCACTCGGGTTACAGTACTCCCCAGACGATGCTGCAGCTGACGAGGGAAGGAGAGGAAGCTAGCGAGGGCGACCGAGGTCATCCACCACAAGAGGGTTCCGAGGCGGAACAAAGTCGGTAACAAGTATACAAACACGAGGACGCCCAAACGAATGACGGGAATGAGACGAGGATGGGGACGTAACGATGGTGAGGGATATTGAGAAACACAGACTGTTGCTCACGGAGGGGCCCCCTACCTAATTAAACCCGCAGGTTGCAAAGAGCGACCGAGTGAGGGACCTAGGGAGCAACGTGAGAAACCCGAATCGAAGAATGCAACGCCCAATATCCCATCGACCCTTGTTGCTTGCAAGTTCTGAATAGAGGCAAGTGCGGATGCACACGGAGCTGTAGGGTCAGGTCCTGCCGGCAAGCTGACAACAGGCCCTGACACTTTTGTTTTTATTTTACTTTTTCATGTCGAGTTAGGCTTCGAATGGGAAGGGACCCCGAGTCCCTGACCGCTGTGACTGCAAGGGATTCCTGCTTCCCGCCCTGCCAGCGGTCGTGGTTCCGGACTGGTTCCGATGCGTGCTCGCGCTGCCGCCGTCGTAGTGCTGATGATTGAGTGCGCCTTGCCGCGTGAGATGGTTGTTGCCGTGCAGCTGTAAGCAGAGGCAGGCCCCTCTTCCCCTTTCGACTTTCGACTTTCGATCTGGCAATGGCGTTCGGGGAACGAGAATGGATGGATGATGATGACGGATAGGTGAGCGGGACAAGGAAACCTTCACCAATGATCCTTGACCTACTCTTGCCTACCTTGTGCCTTCCCTCCTTCTGCGCTCTGTCCCTATCGAAATACATTGTGTCTTCTGATTTATTCCCTCCAATACCTCAGCATCTTCATCCGCCACACCACTTGTCGTTACAGACGGCTCCTCTTTCCAGCGTCTCCAGGCCACTTTGACCCGTCCGTGATGGTCTCCGTCAAAAAATGGCTTGAAGCCCGCTTCCCAAGTTGCAGACGGACTGTCGCCTCGCCCCGACTAACACCTTGACTAGCACCCTTTATTCGATGCCAAGTCTTTTATTCGATGCTGCTGGCTGTCAGCTTGACCAACCTTGTTCTTTGTATCCAGTGCACACGGTATGTCATCCCGCTCCATCAGTCCAATCGTCCGATTGATTGAGGCGTTCGTTCAAGATGCACAAGAGACGGCGCAAAGGCGAAAAAATATCCAGACAAGCCTTCGGGATCGATCAGCCAAAAACGCCAAGCAAAGCCGTCTTCTCTGAAATGTCGACATTTGTGCTACCATATCAACGGGCGGCCAGAGGACTGGGGGTTTCTTCGGCCGAGATGTGCACCGACGACTAACGCAACACTACAGCCCGCTTGTCAGCCACGACAGCCCGCTATATCAGGTCCACGCAGGCGAGATGCAGCCTCCGATCCTCCGCCTCTCTCGTGTTGGGAGAGACCTCCTTCTTCTTTCCGGGCCCGGTACCAAGCCCGTATCCGGCGTCAGCACCCGCCAAGGGAGTTGCAGAGAACGTCAAGCAATCACGACCTCGTCGCTCAATTTCCCGAGCCCCTGACGTCGCCTGCATCTCTGTTGTCATTGCTTGCGATGTCGTCGTGGTTGATATCAGCCCGCGGTTGGGTGGTCAGAAGCTCGACCAAACGGCTTGCATCCAGGCCCTTCTCACCGCTTGATCTGGACCATCAGCTGTGTTAGCAGACGAGGGCACAGTGACTGCAGCCGCAGCTTGCATGCCACTATGCATGCACGCACACACCAGACCAGGAGTGTGTCTACCTCTACTCGGTAACCTTTTCAGGAGTACAAGCAGATCCAGGTCCAGCTCCCACCTGCTCGTAGACAGGCTGGACTACCCCTGCCACTCGGCGGCTTGGATCGTTCTGGATGTGGAGTTATGGTTGCTCTTTGGCCAGCAGAGTTTCTGACGCTTCGCGGCACTGCATAGGACGCAGGCCATGAGATTAGTCGATGCTCTGCAGCAGCCACTGGGGCCCAGTGCCCGCGGCCGGGTGAGTGTGGGTTTGACAAGTACACCACCAAATCACGTCCCAGCGAAGAATCGATTCAACCCTCTCTATTAGTCGTGATGGTAAAGGGGGTGGTCCAGCTGCGGCGGAGAAACATCAAGGGTTTTGGGCATGGTGAATCGTTCATGTCTTCTATCGCCCTTGCAACTGCCTGGCACCTCCTGGGCGTGGCTGATGGGCTCGACGATTAACCGATGACCTCGGATGGCTTCTCCCGTGGCCCGATGCTCGTGTCACACAGGCTCAAGGTGCATCTGGCCGCTTCTCCCGCTGCGCTAGCGGGCTCCGATTGCAGGGCCGTTGAGGATTGGCGATCTTTGCTCTTCTATTCTGCCTATTCGCTGCGACCGAGTCTAGGTTATTACAAGTAGACTACCAGAAGGCGCAACGGTCACCTCTGTTGTGCACACGTCTGAGGCAGTGGATTGCCTCCCGGGCCCCGGCAACTAAGAAAATCCATCCTTTGCAGGCCGCCGTTCAGTTCGCTGTCTAATAGTAATGAGACCGGACTGGCGTCGGTGAAATCGCTCGCCTAGACCGCCCTAGCTGGTCGCCAGTCGTGTGGAAGAGGTCGGTGACAGATCTGCAACGCCTGGCTCGAGTCACGCTGTCGCTGTGAGTTGCGGCTGTCGCAGACCATCCGGCTGGGAAGTCGCCGATGCTTTTAATAGCTGTTTCACGTCTAATGTCCGACTTCGACGGCAGCGCGCTGTGAGGGACGCGCAATATCTTGTTGGATGAGACAAGCTGCGCCATCGCCTCGACACCTTTCGAGCCTTGCTCAGATAAACTTGCATCCACATTTGCGTCTCACGCTTTGCTCGTTGAATTATCCACACCGAACCGATGGATGCAGCGCCATCAACACTCTCGCACAGGTCGATCACGAGAGACCAGTCTGCCGAGCCGCGGCCCCGTACCTTTTCCGGCCGAAGCTCGCCGTTTACACTTGACACTTGTTCCGGGGGTTTCTGTCCAATTTCTCCTATCTCACACGGAACGGTTTCCGTGCAACGCAAGATGGGTTGGCTTGGGTCTCTTGAGGCTCGCTAAACGCAACATGATGTTGTCTCGCCTCACACCTACTGGGGCACACTTGTGGAGCAACGACGTCTCGATTCGCACCATTGCACGGTCACTCATCTTCGAGATGCCCGTCACTTGATCTTTTTGTGTCATACGCGAGTAGAGAGTCGCGTTAACGCACTTCAGGGCGACAGGTTCGTTTACAAACAAGAGACCGCCTTGTGCCTGCCGGACGGTACATGATGAAAAGGCGGAGGTCAGCCGCCGACGTCCGCCAGTAACGCTTGACGGATCAAGGAGGGCCGAGTTGGGTACGGATGCAGCTAGCCTTCTCACCGGATGCTATGACCATGCTTAACCGCGAAACGGAAACCCGTCCGAATCACCAGCGGCATTTTCTGCAGGCGTCTAAACCACATTTTGACATCTCGGACAAGGGGTGTCTCTCAGAGTCCACCCAAGAGTGTCATCCGCCAATGATAGCAACCCCCAACACAACCTCGCCTTCTGACTTGGTTGCGATGCATTTTTGGCCCGCCGTGTCCTTACATGCTGTCAAAGTCGCTTTCATCGGCGAGGCCTACAACTCTCTGCGTTCTACATCGACGATGAGGATTTTACACAGCGAGCTCATGACGTTGAGATGGAACATGCGATTGCCTCTGGTGTCACAAGGCTGAGACGTCATTTCAACACAGCATATGCACCCCGTATGCAAAGTTGCCTTGTTCAGGGTCTGGGGAAGCATGCCTCGTGGGGGAAGGCAACTGGAAGTGGGACTTCCCAACATACCCAAAGTGCCGTTGATCCCCCACATCGTGACATTGTCTTTGAGCCTCAAAACTGACGACGTTGCGTTTTGACCACCACTCATGCAACCATAGGCTCTTGATCCACTTGGAGGCCTAACACAAGTAGCCAATCTCGTTTTTTGTGGCTGATGACGTCTTTTTAATGTTTGGCGATGACAAGACCTATCGCATATAAAAGGTGAGAAGTAACAATTATTGATATCACATGACATCGGAGCGGGCTATGCGTATTACAGCAGGCTTGTTGACGCAGCTG